CCGCTACTCTCCTCCTCAACCGGTAACCGGGCCCGGGAGGGCTGGCGCGGCGCGGGGGGACCGGGCCCAGCCCGGCCCAGGGTGGCAGTGGCACCTTGTCATGCAGTAAGCTTTCCTTCCTGTTTATTTATAAGGTATCTTCATGTTCTAATGATCTTCTGGTCGTTTGTGGCTGGTGTCGTCACCTTCTACTGTTCACTGGGACCGGACTCCCTCTTGCCCAATATTCTTTTTACAGTAAAATATAAACCCAAGGTAAATATATTCGTTAACAGTCTTGTGTTTTTTTGAAACGGTGAGAATTTATACTGGGCAGCAATACTTGTGTAATTCTAGCTGCTTTCAGAAATACTACACATCAGTGCAGCTCATATCTGCCAACTGATAGATGTTTTGTAGCAAGCAAATACAGCGATTAAGACTTTAGATTCTTCATATGCTTGTGCATAGTTCTATCAGATTTATGTATGGCTGTAAAGCCACTTATTGGGAGTGTTCACAAATGTTATTTTCAGCTTCACTCTTTCGCTTTTTGCATTTGAGTAACGAGTAGCTGAGAAATTATCTAGCTGTGTTCCCTTTTATTGAGGCTTTTTCTTTTCTAAGGGTGCTCTTCCTTTGGCAAGCCAGTACCAATCTTTTTTGCTGATTGTAGACAAACTTCTTGAAGCAGTACAGCATTTCAAAGAAAAAAAACATTCCCAAAGAAAAATATTTTTTTCTAACTTAAAATTGTTTAATGTAGAATTTCATAGGCTTAAAAATGTTATAGTTAAAATAGTTTGAGGCTATGAGTTAGGCAAGTTTTGTAGAGAAACTAGCTGGTCTGTTATTAGACCAACTGATCTATGGGGAGGTGACTGGAGATGTGAAAGGTTGTTTCCTCAAACTTTGTTTTAGTGGAAGCAATTTTTCTGTTTGGTTGTTTCTCATACTATGCCTTGTTATCTTGTTTTCCTGCTGGGAGAACAACTGCTGTATGTTCTCTCTAACTGTATACTCTAAAAGTATATAAAGGTGTATATATATGAATGTATCAGTATGTTAAGAGAGTCATCATTTTAAAGAAGGTAAACTTGTTAAACTATCTTTTCTTAGCAGTTAGAACTGCCAGAGCTATTTCCCCATGGTCACAGCTGTGCTGTATGTGGAAAGGTCAAATGCAAGAGGCACAGGTAAATTAAATACATGGCACTGGTAAGCTTAATATTTCTTACATTTTGCACTTAGCAGTAGAGAACTTTCAATTAAACACCGTTACATCAACTTTTCTATGCTTTTCTACAGATCCTGGCTGGATCTGAAAGTGCCTTCCAAGGTTGATGCATCACTCTCGGAGGTAATTGCTGCTTCATTTTTTCAGTACCTTGAATTTTAGCAAGTCTTTATTACATATCTCTTAGACTTATTACTTCTGGTTCAGTAGATAGTTCAGATATACTTGCCATGTGTGTTAACTTGTTTCTGTAATAGTCAAATCAAAAGGATATATGCCAGGAGCAGAAAGGCGAGATGGCGTACTTGTTAACACAGATGTGACTGTACCTGTAGGATTGTGCCTAGAACATAGAAGAAACATCTGTGGGATGTTTCTAAATTGGGAAATATGTAGGAAAGAAGAGTTATAATTGAACATGTATGATTCTTAAAGAGTTAAGGATTTCAGCCTGCTTAGTTTGTTGAAGTGGGGGTTAAGAAATTATTTGCTCCAGCTACCAAATTTCTGCAATGAAGATGATAATGTGATAGTAGCTATTTAAATTATCAGACGAAGCTGTAACAAAATCTGTCTACAAAAGAAATTAGTAGATTTACTCGAAGAATAGCATAAATACCTGTTTTTTAATAAGGCTGTGAATCAGGAATTTTGTTTTGCAGTTTTGTCTTTAAAAAAGAGCTATCTGAAGAGTGATTTTTTTTTTCTCTTTGGATTTGGATTTTTTTTGATTGGTAATTGGTGAAATATATTGGCAGCTAAATAGATAATCTTTTGTCCTTTTCTAAAGCTAGCAAATTATGCAAGCACGTATGTAACTTAATTTCTATTTATTTAGAATTCTAGTTTTGGAGAAATGAGAAGATTCTTGCATGTCAGCTCTCTCAATTAATACAGCATAGTGTATGGAGTCAAAGCTGTGTCCCTGTGGTATAAGCTAACACTTTAACTTAGCTGTGCATGATGGTGTTCCAGTCATGGCCTACAGCAAAAGTAGCAAAAGAATGAAAACCTAAAGGGGAGGGATGGACAGTTGAGGAATGTTTTTAAAAAAACCACAGATAACAACTTGTTGACTTCCTTTGGTTTAATATAGTGACTTCCTCTGCAATTTCAGAAGCAAACATTTATTGTTTGAAAATTATTTAACCTGTTAATTTTTTTTAATGTTTGGGCTCAAATGTATTAAAATAACAATATTGCTGAATATCATTTCAGTAGGCTTATTTTTTTAAACCTTGTTTTAATAATAGAACATAAGAACTTCTGTGCATGTAGTATTTTTAGAATTTTGGGTAGCAAGTAGTTGTAACAGTTTACTGAAGGATGTGGTAAATGCTGAAGAACTGGAAAGTTTCCTGTGCAGCTATAATGAGAATTTAATGCTGAAAAAGTTCTTTGTAGTATGTTATTCATAAGGCATATGAATAGGTACCATAGTTATCTTCTAAGACTGTTCTTTAAAGTGTGTTGCTACACATAGGCATTTTGTACGTGGTTGCTGTTGCTGTAGTTCTGCTTTTACCAAAGTGGTGTGGCCTTGTCTTTGCTGTTTGTTTTTACTTCAGTGGCATGTCCCTGCTCCTGCTTTGTTTAGCAATGTAAACATGGCTTTTTTATATCTATGCCATGTTTTTCATTCTTTTGTTGCTTGACTAGAAGAAAGTGCAAGACCTGAGTTCTGTGCCTTCCTGGGACATTGAACCAGAGTAATCATCTTTGATGGACCCAACCAGCAGTCTGTCAGGACCACCATTCTCACCTGTGTAGGATATTATTTGTAATGAGAAATCTCACTGCATTGTTCCCCATGGCAATTCTTCTATACTGGTTAAAAGGGTAGCAGGGATTCTGCTCACACCGTGTTCCCCTTGACCATCTGCTCTGGGGATGCAGCATGTAATGCATGCCTGGAATTGGATAGCCTGCTTCGGGTTGGAAGGAGACTGCTCTTATTTTCTTTTGTGGGTTAGTCATACATTAGAGGGAAGCTGATACAGTGAGAACTGAATTACGATTAATGAGATTCTAAAGGAGTGCAGACTGCAGTCTGCTTCTGAAAAAGAGATTCTTCAAATACTTGGAATAATTTTTGGATTTTTAAAATTCTGGATTAGTTCTTCTTTGCAGGTTGAAAAATTTGGGCCATTTTCTCATTTCCAAATGTTTCTAATTTGAATCAGTTGTATAGTATTTAAGCTTGTGTTTTTAAGTTTTTACAGAATAGTTTAATACACCCTTGAATCAGAAGAAATACAAGTTTTTCTCACAAGTATGGATTTTTCTCTCTTGGGTAGTGATGACAGTTTGTCTCAGTCACAAATTCTTAATCTTTTGCAGCCTTGTTTTGGTTATCTAGCTGCTGTATGTGGTTTAGAACAATAAGAAAAACCTGTGTTTGGACTTTCCTCCCCCCTTCATTTATGTTTATTATTGTAGTTGAACTCTAAACCACCTCAACCATGCATCTATCAATATTTGATAGTTTGGGCTATATCCTGCACAAAAATAATGCAGTGACCTAAGTATAACTTTGTTTCCAGTTTCCAAGCCACTGTGCTTTGTTAGTTTCCCTGATGTTTTCTTTCTTTTTTGAATTAGGATGTGATATCTGTTGGTCAGTTTTATGTTATAGATAACTTCAGGTGTTACAGATTGTATAAAGGAGAATTTAATTCTGTTATTCAGTTAATGAACTCAGCTTTTTCCCAACAGTCTCATTTTTGCTATGTGAGGGATGGTTGCAAGTCAAATCTGCGAAAAGCTGCTCAGCTACTCTTGATGAGCATCATGAAAGAAATGCCTTGGTGTATCAAGGTGCTCTCTGTTAATCTCACAGTTTTTCTTTAATTCTTAAATGCTCAGGTTCTTGACTTAATTATGGGACCAAAATTTGATCTCTTCTTTCTTTTCTAAAAGTAAGAAATGAACAAATCCATGCCAAGAAATCAGATACTGTCTGAACATGCTTTTTGCCAGTTTTGAACTCTTGTTAGGAGCACAGTGGCCTGCGTGCTTTCGTAATGGGAATTGCTTTTTCTGACCTCAGGAAGTGGTTTCAGCTATCTAGTTGTACCATCTTTTAAGGCTTTTAAAATTGCCTTTTTGGCTTACTTATCAAATCCTTGCTCCTTTCCAATCTAATGTGACCTGGTAGTTCTGGCTCACTACTGAATCATTCATTGCTCAGCTCTACAGTTCTCCTCCTGACAACTGGGGTCTGTTCTATGGCAGTCCACAGAAAGCTTGTCTCAGCAGCAAAGACTGACTATCTTGTAGCGTTGCAGTGCATACTGGAAAATAACTTCTCTTCGTTTTTTCTTCAACTGCTGCTTTTATTGCTACCTGCTGCTTTTGGTTTTACACTTGTAATCTCTTTCCAATTCAAAACTGTTCACACATAGTAGAACCAAGTCATTTTGTAAAAAGCTTGAAAAATGGGTAAGCTTTAAATGAAGTGACTCATCATTTGTATTTAAAACTGGTGAATAATACCTTACAGACAAGGAAATTGCTTATCATTAGCTGTCATTCTTTGAGATGTCCTATCTACTCTGTTGGCATGTGTGCGTAGTGTGAGCAATAGAGCTCTAATAATATTGTTGGTGTTATTAGAATGGAAGTGTGCACACATTTCCTGCTTTCCTGATGCTTTATGAAAGTGCAGTGGATGATGTGACCGTTTTTTTTCTGACTTAGAGAATCATACTGTTACAGTCTAGAAGGCTCACAGGGTTCATGGGAAAACTGTATGGACCGTATGCTTTGAACTCTAGTTACTGGCAGTCAGTTGCTTGTTATTCCTTGAGTGCTTGTATTTTGCAGTGTGGATGATTTTCCACTCTAGCTCTCCTGTAGCTTCAGTATGGCACCTTGGTGCAATGGAGCATCATACATAACTGCCTCTGCTGTGGCTATGTCTTTAGTAAATGTGCAAATAATGACTGCCTTCTGTGTGTCCAGGATCAAGGTATTTTTTATTAAGGCCATATAGGTAGCTTGAGTTCTAGTAGAACATGTCTTGACCTCCAATATCAGGACCAGTGATATGTTGACTTCAAGTGCGTTTTGAGTTAATCTTGTCTGTGTACATGCTGCCTCTGGGTCTTTGGCTAGAGGGATTATCTTCATGGCATTGTCCTGTGGAAGCATTACCATGTGACTATGGAAGCGGAATATAACAAGAGAAACACTGGCAAGTCTGCAAAATGATTCAGCTGGAAGTCAGTTACTACAAATGGGATGAATCTCAAGGAGACCTTATACAAAGTGCAATGGGTCGTCAGGTCTTGCATCCTTCCTGCTTTCCTTGCTGATTAAATAACCACAGGAAGGTGTTTTTCAGAACCATGCGTGTTTGGCTTAGCTAGCAGTAAGAATGAGATCTCTCACCGTTGGGAACAATTCTTGTAGTGACTTTAGAATCCTCTGGACTGTAGGCAAAGAGAGTGCCAACATGTTAGCATGTTAGCATCTGATGAACTGAAATTGCAGTGACACATGCACTGACAGGCTTTCAATTCCAGGGTAGTAGTCATGGCTAAATCTCTTCAAAGAGGAGTGCATTGTACTCCCTTTGAGTATGCTGTCTTGTGCTTGAAGACTGTCCAAGAGCACTTTCCACTCCAAGTGGAAAATGGTTTGCTGTCGTTGCTCTTGCTGGGGAGACACATAGCAGAAGTGGAGAAGGAAAGAAAGGAAAGGTATCCTTTAATCGATAGATTCACAGTATGGATTTTTCTGCAGGCCTTTGCCTTTGAAAGGCACTTTTTTCAAGGAGTCTGCCGTTTGAGCCCTGAAAGAGGTTAATTTTGTTAGAAAATGCATAAACAAAAATAATGTTGCAATACATGTGAGACTGAGATTTCTGTGGAGTAAATTGGTGGTTTATATACTGGCAATGCTATGGAAGGCATCAGGGAAATTGTTTTGAGTAGTCTGATCTATTGCTCTTAAGGCCAATGGTCTGTGTTTGTGGACTAGAGCTAGATGTGATCTCCCTCCTGTTGTCTGAAGATCAACTTCTGAAGAAGATTCTCTCGAATTTCTTGATCTCTTCTGAGCTGGGAAGTAAAGCAACTGTTATCATCTTCTCCCACCCTTCCATCCCACTTCTAATGGAAATACGAGCATTTTGAAGGGACAGGTGACATTTAGCTTACCCATCCATCATCAACACATGATCATATTACAGTTTCAAGGTCTATTACTGCTACAACATGTAGGGGTAGGAGAAAAGACATTGACTTTAGATGTCTGTGTTGTGGACCATACAAAGTTACCTCAAACTGGAAAGCATCCTGTCAGAAAGAGGGTGAAGGAACAAAATTCATCCTTCACCCTTAAAAACAAAGGGAAGAAAATCACTGAAATGGAACAATTGCAAAAGAGAGAGTATCTTACCAAATTTGAGTAGGCGATATTCTTAGTAGTGAAGACAGGAAGAGTATTCATCAGCTGCTCATCTGAAGAATTAAGAGGAATTAAAAAGGCTGTGGTGTGCATTTTACTGAGTGTGCTTTTATAATCTTGAGTAGAGCAGAGGCATGTAGTGCCCTAAAGATAGTATAAATTTAGTAATCTTAAAGTCTTGTAGTGCATACAGTGTGAATGAGTGCAGCAGCAAGTCTTGTAAGAAGAGTAATACTTATTCTTCTAAATGGCACTTGTACCTCAGCTGTTACATTCAGCTTTCCTTTCAAACAGATTTTACATTTTACTTCAAACACAGTGGCTTATTTTTGGAAAACCTTTCCTTTTATAGAATATGGCACAGCAGGCTCACGTAGCAACACACATACTCTGTATTACTACCCTGATTAGCGGTGATGCTGTTGGGGACAAACTGATCTCTAAAGCAATGATTCAAAGGGATAGGTTGTAACAGGAGAAGGTAGTACAGAGTATATCTTGGGGTTATAGTGAAGGAGGAGAAATCTCAAAAAAACTTCATCCTTCCTTCTCCTTCATTATGCTTTTTTGGTTTATTTTTTTCCTTGGCACTGTCTGATGTTTCCCCTTCCCTTCAGAAGTTTTATTTTTGATAATCGTGGTGCAAGGACTGTAGCAGTTACTTGAAACTTTTGTGTAGGTGTAAGGAGAGATGTCAGCTGCAGTCTGGCTAGCAGTACACCTTGTGTACATGGTGGTGGCAGCCCGTTGATTGCACAGGGACTGTCACCTCCTCTGCCTCCCTTTCTTCAGTGACATTGAAAGCCAAGCTGAACCAGGGCATGCCTGTGACGTGGCTGCAACAGCACTTGTTCTTCCTGATTAGCCCGGGGTTTTTGGCATGGAAAAGGCAACCACAGGCTTGATCTGGAAGGAGCAGGTTTGATGGAAAGGATGGAAAAGATCCTCCTACAGAGATCCGTGTGGGTGGGATATACAGGGACAAGGAGTGGGAGGGAGGTAGCTGTAAGGATACATGCAAGACAAGGACTTTGGGAAGGGCTCTGATTGGGACTTCAGGAGATGACTGGACCATAAGGCAAGCATTGTTGAAAGCTGTGGTGCAGGATCTGGAGAAAGGAGAATGGCTTTCCTAAGAATTGCTTTTTAGGATTCTTTTACTTTGTGTGTGGTAAGCATACAGGATTGACTGTCCCAGTTAGAGGGTGGTGGAGAGCTGGGAAAGGTGGAGGTTTGGGTGAAAAAGAATGGAGATGTCTGTAAGTATAGGATGAGTAGCTGTGCCTGTGGGATGCTCCACACTGTGTCGGAAAAGAGCAGGGACTGATCTGAAAAACTAGGGAAGGACTCTTTGAGATAAGATTACATTTTTCATAGCACTTGCCTAACAGAGTGGCCAGGGCACTGTGCTTCATTCATGTTGTCAATAGTACTATTGGCAGTTGTTTTATGTAGGTAGTTGATGAAATTGTAGCTTTCCTGTTTTCCCAAAGTACTGATTATTATGCAAAATGATTGATCTCACAATAGGATTGCAACATGCACATTTGTATTTTAAAATTTTATGATGTATGAATTATGTTCTATGAGTTCTGGAAGGTTTTTGTGATTTTTAACTCATCTAATAAGGATTTACAATAAACTTTCAGCTGTTTATTTTGTAATGTGGTTGTCTTTGTTCTGCGCAGGTGCTTGAGTTGGTGCTGGAAAACTTTATTTATCCATGGTACAGGTATGAGTATTACCCAAAAGTTACTATTTTTTAATATCATAAATATTTGTGAAGCTGTTTAAGAAATAGTCAACTGAAAATAAACTATTCTGTTTCTTTATAAAATATAAAGCATACTTCTAAGTGCTATGGTTTCATAATTTTATTGTCTCTTAGCAGAGTGGAACAGATATTTTAATAATTTAGGCATGGTAGAGGTGGTTCTGAAATTTATGTTTCATCCTAAAAGCACTTTTAGGTTATTCATTTTTATATGCTTATTTTCTCATAATTCTCACTTGGAAGTACATATGGCTTGATTAAAACCTCTGTAAAAAAATCAAAAACCCCAGAAATTTATTTCCAGATTAGACACATACTGATCTTTCATATTGCTTAAAAAACATAAAATAACTTTATAGGTTTTTTAAAACCAAATTCCACTTTTAATTAATATAGAAAAGGTATTTTGAATACATATTGTGGCCACCTTCTTGAAGAACGTCTGGTGACTTGCTGAGTTTTAAGGCTGGGTAGTTATGCTGAGCTGAATAGAATACAGTAGTGTATAGACTATGTCTAATTATTTTTTGTGGGTTTTTTGCCTTGTATCTTTATATATATTAATTAGTCCTTCAGAGTACTTTAATGGCAGCATGATCAGTTAAAAATATTTTAAATATCTTCTTAAAGTGTTAAAACAACATTTTGCCTTAATTCTGATTTTGACTTTTTCATTATATGGATATGTTTAGTTTTGTGCTAAAATAAATTTATACTTTTTTTTTGTTTTACTCTACGCTGGTTTTTGTTCTGATTCTTGGGGATCTAAGGTTTTATGGGCAGACTTCTTTGCCTGATTGGTTTTTAATTGAGACCGATACCTGCATGTCTCACATCTATCTTTGATGAATACGCTGAAGTGTAAAACTTAACTGCTTATGCAAACAGCAGAGGGAGCTTTAGCACTATGTATTGTGAATAATCAAGTTGGAAAATGCAAGGTTTTTAACTTTCAAGTACAGAAAACTAGAGCATGGAGTTTGATAAAGTAACAAATGTAAGGGAACCATCTTATGTATTTCATAGTGTGAAATTAGAAAGGATTTTTTTGGCTGGTGGAAAGTGTCTTCAATGTCTTTGCTTTGGACTGACAAAGAAACTTGGATTTCACTTACTACTTACATCCCTGATACCCAAGACAGTGGAAGTCTGGAATACATTGTATGGTGGGGATTGTAATATGTAAAGTTAGAAGTGCGGTGCAAAGTATGCTTGGTATGGAGTCAGCCGGCCTCTGGTGACTTGCCCTTTGGTGAGATGTGTAGATGTTTCTGCACTGTCTTTAGTTTTACATGGCTGCACCTCTGGATTTTGAACTAGGTCTGTAAATTCACACCATGCAGATCAGAGCTAATAAACTTTCCGTGAACCTGAAGTACTGGGAATTCAGTGAGCTGTAGTGCAGTGATAACTGTGTAATTCTGCATGGAACAACTTGGTCCTGAAAGGCTTGCTTGTTTCAGTTTAACAGTAGCAATGTCAGATCTGTTGTCACTCCCTCTAGACATTCAGGTGTTTCTGTGCTTTCTTTATTTCCAGCAACAGTTGTGCAGGGAGACCTGAACTGTGTGTCTGTGTGCAACCATCTGTCTTGTAGAGCATGTTAGTTCTGACTTTTCCTTCTTAGGTGTACCTACACTGTTTGCATAGCTCAGCTCACTCTGGAGAAAGTACTCTTGCATTCATGAAATGCTTTTTCTGAGCTAAGAAACTTCACTGTCTCTGGATAATTCTTCAGAGCCAGATCAGAAGCCTTTGCATGCAGACTATACTTACTTAGCAGAGTGGGTAACCACCAGCAGGTAATTCAGACTTGCCAGACTAGATTGGTAAAACAGTTTGCTGCTTTCCCTTGCAGAAAAGTCTGTACATAATTCCTTATGTTAGCTGTCCCTCTTTCAAGTGAATGGAATTTGTGCAGAAGTGTTCTCTTTTGCTCTTTTTTTTTTTTTTTTTTTTTTTTTTTTTTTTTTTTTTTTACTTTGTGCCCTGCCAGCTGATACTCTTTTGCAGCACCTTACACACTCTGGACATTAAAGAGGTAACTATCCCACTCAGAAGCCTGGGAAGTGTCACACTTAACCAGCAATGTATGTTGCAAGATAAAATCGTTGTTTTATTGCTCAGGAAATAAAGTGCTCTAAGCAGGGAAGAGCTGTGCTTGATGTTTGTTTCCTTAACAAACTGTAAGAATTTTTAATATTTTATTAGCATGTTAAAATTTAGAGGCAAACATCTCTAAATTTGGATCAGTTTAGGAGGATGAAGATTAGTAATTAAAAATACAGTGAACTCTACTTAAATAGGTAGTTATACCTATGTGCACTTTTTGTTTGGTATTTTTCAGAGTATTTATAGTGGTTATATTTAAATATTTGTGTGTTAAGACTTTTTTCAACTATGTGAGAAGAATAGAACAGAGTTGTAAGTAATCCAGGTTTGCAGAGCTACAAAACACTGGTCTGAGTCTATTGCTTATGCTTTGAGCTGTACAGTAAAACCATGTATCTTGCTTATCCCAATCTCACTTTAAATAGAAGAGTTTAAAGTTTGAATGAGTCACTCTATGCTTACTGAATTTTTTTTAGTCATTGATGCTACTGCAACTCCAGTTCTCTCAGATTAGAATTCAGTAATTACCACATTTTTGTAATTACTATGAAAACATTTTTCTTTGATAGTGACTAAAACTAGTGTTTTCACTTATGGAGCTGCTTCTATTTTGAATATAAGTCATGCAAGAAAAATTCAGGATTTTTGTTCAGTTACAAACAGTTTTACAGTTTTATCAGCTTGCAACTTATTTACTTCATCTTTTTTGATAGGAGTTGACCAAATTTCATAAGAGTAATTGACACACAGAGGAAAAAAAAGAGTTTGTTATTTGTATATGGTTTTCATTTATCAGTAGATCCCATAAGACTTCGCTCACAACAGCAATTTGGGTGTATCTCTTTTGAGACACTGGACTCAGTAACTGTTTACAATTAACAGACTGAGCCTTTTTCTCTTAGCAAATCTCTCCATTACACTGGAGAAAGTTGTGGTTTTAGTTTTTTCATCAAATTCTGGGAAAATGCAGCCAATTTTTAAAATGTTTTCGAGCGAGTTATTTGGACCTTCCACTGTGTCACTAGAGTTTTGAGATTTTGCAGGTTTTTGTTGTTTTTTTTCACCAGTCTTGAGTCTGCTGGTGATTAATAGAATATCTCTGCAAACCTAAGCGGCGCATTGTGAAAGTACGTGGCATAAAGTCATGTCCAAGTAGAATTAGCCAAGATACTGGTTATCCAAGTGTCAATAAAATAACAACTTCTTGGTCCAAATTACTTCATGTATCTTGTTGGCTGTCAAATACTGGTAATATAGTTATACAGTTTGTTTGCTAATCCCTTGGCTTCCTTTGACAGTGTGGGTATTTGCTAACCATATTGCTTCCAAAATGTCAGCTGCTGATCTTAAAACAAACCAAACATTCCCCTACAGTATTCTTATCTGCATGTGATTAGCTGTTGGAGGATGGTTGTATTCCTTATGCCAGGCTGCTTGCTTTGAGGTGCTTTTTCATACAATTGGTTGCATACTTTTGACTGTTACTTCACCAATATCTGTACCTAGCAGTTCAACATGTGTTTGAATGCTATATAACCCAGGCTAACATTGCTTTAAACAGTTGGATGCTGAATAATGTAAAATGATGTTACAGGCATAAAATTTTTATTTTTCAAATGTATTGTTGTTGCTTGTACTGATTTTTTTAAATGCAAATAATATTTGCATTTACTACATATACAGACTCATTTATTACCAGAAAATGTGGTGCCTTTTACATATGGTCATTAGCTAAAGTAGGAGGTAACTTTCTTTGTTGTGTTATTACTCAGTTATTAGAATGCAGTTTTACCAATATCTTTAGCCATACTCTAATGTCCATATATGCTTAAATGCTGGTAGATTTTTATTCTTTCTGTTGCATTTTGTGGAATGCTGTTATCATGGTCTCTTTTCTACTCAGTTTCTGTTTCTGCATCTACGACTGTGTATTTCCTATTTTTATTCAGTTTCCTCAGACATGGAGTTAGACATTTTTCTTCCTGTATCAACTTTTAAGTATTTTAACCATGATTTTTCAGTGAACAAATTTTATTGCAGCAGATGGAAACTGGCAAGCCACTTAAAAAGTTTAGATGATATTTTGACATAGTGATTTGGGAATCTGTTTAAATTCTTCTTTATTTGTTTCCAAGCAGAAACCATGTTATTTCAGTTCTGTTCCTTGTAGCTATAGGTTGAGGTTGTTCTTTTGTTTTCTTTGTAATTGATGGTTTCACATTTCATGCTACATCAAAATGAAATCAACTTTTTAAAAAAGTAAGTATTTCATTAAAAGGTAGATGAGAAACTACCAAGTTGATAATAAAACTTAAACAAAAGAAGTTAACAAAGCCAGATTTGTAATAAACCAGAAGAAAATTATTTGAAATCTTGGAGTGTAGAAGGCCTTGTAGTATGCAATATGAAAAATCCAGTTTTGACTTGCTTTACTGGGGTATGTGCTTGCAGTACTCTTGTTCCAAAGGTTTTGCTGGTATTAATTTAGTTTTATTTCATGCCACTGAACTAGGAAGCATTCACATATGTGGAAACTTAAGTTAGATTTTGCTTGGTCAAAATCATACAGACAGTATATTAGAGCAGGAATTGCTATATAATTCTAATTTACTGACATATTTATTAAGCTGTTGCTGAGTACACAAACATAGTCGAAATGCTGTGTATTTTACTTGCCTAGAAGACCACTTACTCTCTGCCCATGCTTGGTAGCTTTCATTTCAGTTAATACCAGTTGAAGTATCACTTGTTGTATGTTCTTATTCCAGCTTTTAGTAGTGCCATATGTATTGTGGTTGGATTAATATAAATGCATTTTACTCTGTTTTCTTTCATGACATGCTTTACAACACTACAGAAATATTACTGATGATGAATCCTCTGTGGATGAACTGAGAGGCACTCTGTGTTTTTTTGCGTCTGTATTAGTTCAGAGAATTCACAAGGTAAGGTGACTTAAAGGTATTAACATTGGTTTTCCATCAGAAGTAACTGATCTCCATCTGCAGCAAGTTCTTTAATTTTTTAAAAAATGATGATTCCAAAAACAGTCTTACAGAGAGTATAGGCAGTTTCCATCTAAGTTTCTTCTTTGCATTATCTGTTTCCTCCTTCTGGAGCTCATCCTGTTCCTGGTTATAAACCATCTTTGATAATTCATCATTGGAAGTGTTCAACATCAGGTGGGATATGTCTTTGAGCAACCTGATCCTAGTGAAAGATGTCCCTGCCCACAGCACGGGTGGGACTTAGGTGATCTTTGAAGGTCCCTTGCAACCCAAACCACTCTATTATTCTTGCAAACAGATATATATTTTTTACACTAGTGCAAGGCATTATTAAAACCTTGGGATGATCTTCTAGCTGTCTTTTAATGACAATCCAATTTAATTTCAGAATTATTGAAAAAGGACTATTAGAAAATGGTGAGCAGCGTACCTGTCTCAGCTTCTTGCTTGACTTCTTTAAATGCAGGCAAGGTCCTTAACAGTTGTCTGTAAAGAATGGACTGTTGTTGGAGAACGGCTTGCAGAGAGCAAGGCCATAGCTCCCTGCAGAAGTCGGTCACAGCCACCTGAGGTAAACAGAGGAAAAAACCCAGGGTACAGTTATACTAGCAAGGAAGGAGATTCAAGGCTCAGTGATGCTAACAGGGACTGTTGTGAGAACAAAGAGATAAGTTGGGGTGCATTATGACCTTGGGGGTGAGAGAAAAACAGTTCTGGGAGGGAAACAGGTTCAAAGCAAGAAAAATGTTTATGCATACCAGAAATGCCACAAGGGGCTGGGATATTACAGTGTGACCTTTTGGATGTACCCAATGGCTGAGATATTATAATGTAGTTTCTTAAATGTATCCAGTAGAGTTACAAGTAGTGTATTGTAGAGTGCTTATATAAGGTGTGATCTCTTTCAATAAAGTTGAAGCTTGCTCTATCATTCACATTGAATCAGCTGCTTGCTTCCTCCGCCCGCTGCAGACTGTCATTAAGTGAATAGCTTACTATAAGAACTAAAGCAGGTATAGTTCTTATATTAATGTAGTTCTTAAGAAATGTTCTGAAGACTAAAGATTCAAATTTTTATTTGCTGTGTTTAATATATTAGCACACATACTCTTTTTCCTGGTAAAGTGCTTCAAACTTCTTCTACAGGAACTGCTTCTAACTTTCTGGCTGTATTAAGCAGGAAGAGTTCCTAACTCAGTTTCCAAATTTATTCAGTGCTGGCCCCCCTTTTGGAGCAACTATGAGAAATGTGTGTCTTTTTTTCCCCCTCCTTAGTAACAACAATATTTCCTGAACTAGAAGTTGTTCATGTACTCTGTCATGACTGATTAACAGCCTGATTTTGTCCTTGTTATATATCAAATCCAGATGACTTTCTTGTTTATTCTAACTCAAGCATGTTGCTTTTTAAAGTGAACATGGAGGAAGATTAGGAAATGTCTGTGTAGTGCAGACATTATGTGGAGGGGTGAAAGTAGAGTAAATCTTCTGAAGTGCGAATCTAGAGCAAGATCTCAAAATTTAATTTGGAGTTGTAATACGTGCAGGTGTTAGCTGCATTGTTCACAGATCTGTGGTTGATTCAGAAAATGTCGTCTCCTCCGTTGATCGTGTAGTAAGGTATTGACTTTTATTTCAGATCAACTATAGCATCTTTAAGTAGAGTGTTATTTTACCATGTCTGCCTTTAGCACTAATGAAGTAAATGCAGCATCTTCAGTTCTGTGTATCTGGGTAGACAGTATGTGCAACAAAAACTCAAGACATTTATAAGTATTAAGCACTGTCAGGGGAACTACAAAATAAAGGTTATCCCAGAAATGCATTTCTCTTTACAAATGTTTAGATTTATTTGTATCCATCCCTACGGTTTGTGTGAAGTGGTACAGGTATCTCAAGAAAAAAGATACTTGTAGTAACTTTGCATTTTGGAACAAAGTTGAAACTTGGCATGCTCAGTCATGGAAGCATGGTGTTTCATGCTATGCTATATTTTTCAGTTTTTTTCCTGCTGAACAAGTGTTTCTGTGTGTGTACACACCTACATAGAGATTCAGACAGCCTCAGTAGCTGTGATGCACATACTACTGAAAATGTGCGCAGAAATCGGAGTTGATATTCAAGTTGCAAATAAAATACCAACCTTTTGTCATTTTAGGACTCCTTGTTTAAAGCTTCAGTAGTTAGCTGAAAAGGGTTATGACAGTGTTTTATAGCCTTTATAACCTCATTTGAGGATGAATTAATCACTGATTGCAAAATAAAATAGTCTTATACCTTTGCCAAACAGCTGTACTTCAATTTGGATTTATTATTAAACACTTGAACGCAATAGTTCTAGCTAATAGTGATAAAATTTTTAAATTCGGGAACCACTATGTATATGAAAACTGACTGTTTTTTTTTTTTCTTTTTTAGGTTATATCTTTATACTTTTTTTGCTAAAGATTGTCTACTTTTGAATTAAGACTTATAAATTCCTTCAGTGAAAGGAATTCCTTTGTTTTCTGTTCAAGGCTGCCTAAGTGGATTTTTGGAGGCATGGTTCTTGAACAAAGTAACAAGCACTTCAGGCCAGTCAGCTCTTAAGTATATGCTGAAATATTTATCTCTTTTTTTTTTTTTTAATCTGGATTTTCCTTATTGTGGCCATTTCTGGGTTAGTTATGGGTTTTGAAGGGAAAGTGAAGGGTTTCCCTTTGTATGGCTTGGTGTAGGTAGTCCTGCATCTCACTGAAATTTTTGTTACTAGTGTCTACTACAGTGTTAATAACAGTTTCCTTGCTGTGCTATTTGACTAAACCTCTGCAGGAATAAACACTCCCCTATCCCTATGTTCTGTAGGAAACTCTTGATTTATTGCAAATACTGTTGAAATGTGAGTCACAAAGGTTCTCCTACTTTCTTGCTTGTAAATAGGAGTTGTCCTTAATTTAGTTACTTTTAGGCAGTTCTAGTAAATTGTACTAGCTTGTCTGGGCTGGCCAGGTCAGGTCATATCTGTGCACCTCAAATATTACAGGGGACTGTGCAGGAATGCAGGCTTTTCTCTTTGTATGAATGAATAAACCCCCAACTTTTTTCTTGGCTGTGGTGGTCTTTGCAATTGCACTGTCTCTTTCCTTGTCTGGCAAGAAGCACTTTTATGCTTCTGTTTCACTACTTAAGGTCTTTGACTTAGTTATTGAGGAGGGACAAACTCCATTAGGAAAGGAACTTGTTCAGAAATCTTAAGTTTTGAACATTTGCAACTATGCTTTTGCTTCTCTGAGACTTCTTTTGCTCTTGCTTAAAGTAAAGGGCTTCCAGAGTGTAAACCTGTTTCTAGATTAGTTTCTGTGGAAAGTGCTGCAGCTTGTAAAGAAGAATCCCTTGAAACTGTACAGGCTGGGGACTGACTGTCTGTGGAGTCTCTGCTGCAAAGGACCTAGCCCTGTGACAGTAAGCTGACTATGAGCCAGCAGTGTGTCTTGGCAGCAAAGAAGGCCAACAGCACCCTGGGCTGTATTAACAGGAGCAGAGCCAGTCGATTGAGGAAAGTGATTATCTGCCTTTATTTGGTGCTCTTTAGATGACATCTAGGGTACTGCATCCAGTTCTGGGTTCTCCATTACAAAAGAGACATTGATAGAGTAGAGCAAGTTCAACCAAGGGGCCACCAAGATGGTTGGAACCAGACCATTTGACCTGTGAGGCCATGACTGTCAGTGTGTTCAACACCAGGATGGATACAACTCTGATCACCCTAAGCTGAGCCTGCTTTGAGCAGTAGGTGGATTTAAGACATCCTGAGGGCCATTTGTGCCTGAATTGTTTTGTAATTCTCCTTTCATTTTCATAACCATCAAGGAGGGTATAAATGCAAGACTCTAATACAGTCTTTGATTAAATCATAAGTGCTTTTTGTTTGGCTTATGTCACGTCCCACTCCGATGAGGGGGACAAGTGACTCAGATTTGCAAATACCCAATTGGAGCGGACAACAAGTCTCCCAAGTTCAAGCATTTATTAACTACCTACAATGCACTAATTGAACGCATGATAATTGGCTAAGTACAGAGCAAGCTGTGGCAAGCAATATAATATGCTTTACATTTCTTAACAGAAAAAGGAAAAGAGGGAGATAGAGGGAACGGGGGAATACATATCACCGGTCTGGGTTCCTGCGCTGATCCTGCCGGTGAGGATTCCAGGAGGCAGCCATCTTCTTCGCTGGCATCCGTCTTCTTTGCTTCATTGCTCTCTCCAGACGGCCGGGGGGGCAGAGAGAGGGGCAGAGAGAGAGATAGAGCCCTTTCTTCTCCCCTTTGATTTATACCCACTTTCCTTGGGTCCGTCCCCTAGGTCAACCCACAGACCTACGTATCCCATGTACAGGGAGGGGTAAGGTGTTGCATGGGATGATGTCACTAGCATGATCATGACAGCCCTTGTTAGCATATTGAGGGGTGTCAACTTTAATATGCATTTCGTGGATAATGAAGCAAAGTTCATTCACCGGACACATGGCCCTTGAAATCTGCCCAGGTGCCCCAGAGAAGAGCTGTCCTGTCTCCACAGGGCTCTCTCCCCCAGATACATCGGGCAGCCTTATCAGCTTCGGCCTCCACAGAAAGCACCCTGTGACTCTTGGTTTTGTCTTGCGAGTGTTTGAGGCAAATCTTCAATCAGCCTCAACTTTTGCTTTCCCAGGCTGTTTGTCTTAGTTTTTCACAGGCCTGGTTTCTAGGCTCTTACAGCTTAAGTGCAAGATCCCGTGATAACTGTTGCTGACACTAATGATTATCTTGACTCAGTAAACTCAGATTTTCTTTTGGTTCTGCCATCACCTGAGCTGTGACATTTTTTTCTGCATATACGTAGAGGGGGGTTTTCGCTTTGCTTTTCATCCTTGTGGACATGATTGCAGAGGGTTAAGGTATGCAAGTACTAGAAGCAGAGCACAGTTAACTTGCAAATCTTCATGTAGAACTAGGCTTCATATACCATGACTTGGAAATAAAGCTGTGTTACTGTAGTTATTGCAGTGGAAGAATCATAATCGAAACGAGTTGACAACAAATGTGTTAACAGTATTGTTTATGACATTTAGTTCTACATGATGTTACATGCTTTGCCCAGAAGAATGAGCATACTGTCAGTTCATCTGGAGAATTCATGGGTTGTTTCTTAAGGGTTCATTTTATGGTTAGAATGGGGACATACAAGCACATTAATATGTTTAATATTTGTCTGTAATAAATTTGAGGAAAACAACTAGAAAATTTTATTTTAAAACTATTCTTTAGGTGGATATTCCAACTGTTGTAACAAAGAAAATGCTCAAGGCAGCAATGAAGCACATTGAAGTGATAGCCAAGGCCAGGCAGAAAGGTAATGTAAAGACTTAATATGTTGTCAGTTTCAAAGGGTAAGTATAAATGTCTTTTTATGCATGTTTGTTACTATAGTTGCTAAATCTTTTCATCCTCACTTCCTTCTCTTAAAAAAACCCCAACAAACTGATCCTTTTGCATTTTTCTTTTTGAGGTTGCAAAGACAAGTAGGGGAAAAGTTGCAGTACAAATAATCTCTCAGTTTTGATTTTCATTTCCCCACATTGAAAATACTAAATTACTTTTTCGGTATGGTAAACAGGAATGTGTTTTTTGTCTATTCAGGGCAAAAAAGATCATTTAGCAATGCTTCTTGAAGTCTTTCCTCTGTATTCCAGATGAGCAGTTATAAATGAAAGGATTTGCATGTCTGTGCACTGTACTGTAACTGTAACTCTTATAACTATAATCTTCTAGAATGATTTCACATCTGCATGCTAACATGAGCAGTTAGTGGAGTTGTTCAATATGTTGAAAAGTTAGATTTGTGTTTATAACCCATGGAGAGACTTTGAGCAGTAGTGTATTTAATTATTATCCAAATAAAAATATCTTCACAAGCCTAATGTAAAAATTATATTAAAACTGCATATTGAAGGAATATTTGGAAAATAGAACACTTGTTGGAAAATATTTTTTTTTTTTTTTTTAATTGGCTGTGTTCCACAATATCTACTAAATGTGGTTTCATTCAACTTTTAAGCATAGACATTTACTTTCACTGGAGTCACGAACTTTCTTGCCTTCTCTCAAAACATCTGCTTGGTATCTAGAAATAATGCCATTGGTCCTCTGAGTAGTGGGTATGAGTAACATGAATAATGAAACATAGCATGAACACATTAGATGATTTTCATGGCACAACAGTAATTTCAAGATACTAGATTATATTGTGCTGTTTATGCCAAATTTCATATTTCCTTTAATTTCTACTAAGGAGTTAGAAACACTTTCCTTTAGCAGCAAAGAACTGGATTTTAAATGTATGACATTGAAGACATAGCCCTTTTCTTCAGTGTTTCAAAGGAAAAGACTTTTTTGCTGATGGTAGATATGTGAAGTAGGAGCTGAAGATGACTTAGTAGCACTTTTTAGTAAACGTTGCTGAACCAGGTACCTGTAATAATGGTTCAGAGGCAGCTTTCAGGCCTTGCTTTGATTGCTGGTTGAGCCTAGTCTTTTCTGTGTGTTTAGTTTCTATATCCTTTTTCAAATGATTGCTTTGGGGAGCATTTCCTTTTTTCCTTCTCACCCTTGTGTCTCTTAGTAATTCCTCACTATTTGCACAGACACCTCAGTGATTCATGTTCTTGCCAGAGAGCACATTCCTCCTCTCTGCTTTTAGTGACACCAGCTAGGCAGATTTGTCAGACAGTGTGTATTCCTGAATTCCCCGTATCATGTGATACCACTTCTGGTTCTTGGTTGTGAAGGACAAGTTAGCAGGCTTCTCTACTGAATTCAATATGCTGGAAACAAGCTTTAACCTTCTAGATAACAGGTATGTATTAGGTACCTGACCTGTGCCTGCTGTAGTTCTTGGGATGAGGCTGTGCTGCATTGCTAGTACAGCTAGGTGTTATTTATTACAGCTCAATTCTTGCCTTTAAAGTGACTTGAATAGATATAACATTGTTTATTCTAATTAATGTGCATGGGTTTTAATCTGATAAAGCAGGTATTCTTTCAACTTCATACAGGTGCTTATAAGAGTCATCACTCTCACAGATCCCTATGCTGGTTTTGGTTTGATTTGCGCTGTTTAAAATATGTATTCCTTCATGTTTGCTTCTAAATATTCTAAGCCTGAAACAGTTATAACAGGATTAAATAAAAGTTGATCTCAAATTGTACTGTAGGCAGGTCAGTAGGTAGAAGCCTGATAAATGAGAGTCTGTGAAGGAGACTGTGAAAAAAACAGGTAGAGGCGGGAGGCTGTGAAGGAGATTTTGGGGAAAAAAACAAGTAGAGGCAAACTTTGGACAATGCAGTTTTTTAGACGAATCAAGATGTAGTTCTTCAGTAATTATAAAGAGAAAACATTCTGGAAACCATGCAAACTGCAGTTGTTTGGTGAAGGAATTCTTACTTCAGTGTGAGGTTTTATTTTTACATAGCCAGGCTTCAAAGTCTAAGCCAAGGTTCTTCTGTAAAGTTTCAACAGTGTATCCCTTTGGAGTTGTATATGTACTAAAAGTATTAGCGTTTTAGTTCAAATGACAAGCAGTCACCTCTTACTTTACAATAAGAAAAAGCTGAAACAACTCATAATCCTGTTTTTTACTTGCAGTAAAAAATGCAGAATTTTTACAGCAAGCTGCTTTAGAGGAATATGGACCAGAACTCCATGTTGCTTTGAGAAGCCGAAGAGATGAACTTCACTACTTAAGAAAACTTACTGAACTTCTTTTTCCTTATATTTTGCCCCCAAAGTCGACAGAGTGCAGGTATAGAAATTATTTAGAATTGTATTCTTTAAAGTGTTTTTTTGCGTACTGTGTTTGTGGAGTGAAAGAATGAATTCTAAAGTCATCCTCCTCATCCCTCCTCCTTATCCCTTCGCTTATGAATTTTTTGATTGGTCTTAAAAATAATTCTAGCACCCTTAAGGTATTACTAAATATTAAAATATTTCCCAGTAAAATATAATGGCATTGGAAACTTCACTTAGAAAATTATGTATTGGTTCTGTTTGTTTTCTTTCCCCATTTTTTTTTTTTTCTTTTCCCCTTTTCAGATCCCTGGCTCTTCTGATAAGAGAGATTCTGTCTGGTTCCGTTTTCCTTCCCTCAATGGATTTCTTAGCTGATCCTGTAAGACTTTGGAGCATTTATCCAGTATTACTGTTTTCCTACTAGAGTGTGTTGTGGTAAAGCGAATGATGCACCATGACTTACTTGCTGTGCATTTTGACTGGGTAAAAGAAAAAGAAATTTTGTGGCCAATGTTTTTGTTTGTTCATTATAACTGGTTTGAGTGCTTGAGTGACTGAACTGACTAAAATACAGTATTGGCATGATATCTTAAGAATGTATTTTCAATGAAGGACTACAATTCCTGTCAAATAGGAGAATACTGTGCTAGTATAAGCACCTTCAAGTTGCTATAACTACTTTTAAATGGGCTCCTTTACTTGAACTCTAGCTGTGTGTATCTTTATAGCAGTGTAAGTAAATCAGCCTTTTTTGCAGCTGGATGGAAACAAATTCTTTTGTCCTTAATTCTGCAAACAAGAGGGCATTTATTTCTAAAGATGTAACACTGGCATCTTTGTTTTTATTTATATATGTATTTTGATAGGCAAAATTGCAATATTTATAAAGGTATCACCTAGCCACAAGCAGAAAGTACTGTAGCTGTGGAAGTATTAGTAGTTCATTAGATCTGCACTAACAGTAAAAATACTTTGTACAACTTTCCTGTCCTGGATAAAGAATGTTTCTGTGCAGATATTTTCAGATATTCCCTGACTTGTAAATACTTGAAGAGAGTGTTGAAGATTAATTCTCAAACGTGTTGCCAGGCTTTGTTGCTTTTAAAGTAGTACTGTATTCACTTGGGCATAACATAGTAGTGAAATGATTTTCGTCTAATTTGTTGAGCTTCTTTGGTAGTACTTTTGTATTGTGTTTTTCTGCAGGACACTGTCAACCATTTGCTGCTAATCTTCACTGATGATAGTCCAGTGAGTACTGATAAGTTTGAAACAGTAGTAATTTATGGACCCATTAAGGAAGCTTCCTTACCCAGTTGTGTCTTGTTATTTTTTTCTACAGCCTGAGAAGGCAACTGAACCTACTTCTTCATTGGTTCCATTCCTTCAGAAATTTGCAGAACCAAGAAATAAAAAACCATCTGTAAGCAAAGGCAACATTCCTGTTTTAAATAGTGTTTTACTTTACCTGCTGTTTTTTTGTTATTTACCTGCTATTATTTATGTACTCGTTGGAAGTTTGGCTGACTGTATTTTTAACCTACTAAGGTCCTGAAACTGGAGCTAAAGGAGATCAGAGATCAGCAAGACCTTTTATTTCGGTTTATGAACTTCCTGAAACAGGAAGGGGCAGTCCATGTGCTGCAGTTCTGCCTAACTGTAGGTAAGATTGCATATGTGTGCTGAGGTGTATTTGATGATCTTTAAAAGCTTTAAGCATTTGCATGTTGAAGTGAATATTCAGTCTCAGAACTAGGTGGCATTTTTAAGCAAGAGGTTACCTTTCAGGATCTGTGTTCACTTACTTTAGTATGTCCTGATTCTTGAATGCTAATCTTGGCAACATTAATGTTGGCATGGACTGTAGGTCTTAATTGTATTTCTGTTTCTTGATAAAGGTTGGACATAGTAAAATAGAATATTCTTGTAAGAAAATGTTCTGGCCACTGATAAAAAGTACAGCTGCCTTTTTTAAAATATGTGGTTACTATAAGTACTACTAAAATGAGCTGTTCATCATGAAAAGCTTCTCTCGTTCTTTTAGCTTTAAAATTCTGATTTCTCCAAAGAACAGAAACATAACAGGAACATTAAAGATGTTGAAACCTGTTCAGTAACCTGAACCTTGGTTATGAAGTGTGCATTTGGGTTTGCCATTACACAAGTGTTGTTTGAAAAGCTCTGTAATTTTGAACAATAAGGTCTTCTGTGAAGTTCCTATAAGTTGTTTATTTCAAGTTTTTTGGTCAACTAGTAGTTAATTGTTGGCTTACCAAAATAATATTTTTTTTTGATTTTTCTTTCTAGTAAACAAGTATTTCCATGTTGCATAGGAAATAATGGGTGTGTCTTCATATCCCAAGCCTGTACATACATTGGGAAGATGTGAACTTACATTAGACAGATTTTATCTCAAAAAATACCACAGAAATCATTGAACATTACATAAGAGAAATATAAATAATCTCTCTGCGCATACAGCTTCTTATGTGCTCATAATACTTCCTAACATGTTGGCTTTTTGTCAGAAAAACTCTCCTAACCAAAAAACTTACAAAGCAATTACCTTTTCAGTGCTTATGGTGCCTGTGGGGGGCATTCTAAGCTGACCTTTCTGGAGTTCTCTAGAGCCACTTCCTTTAGCAGAAAGGTTTATTCAAACTGGTTATTGCCCATGTTCAGTCTTTTTTTTCCGAGCATTTTTTTCTCGATATTCTCTTCCTTCTAAACTTCTCTTGCATTCTCATAGGTGGCAAATCTATATATTAGCTCATAAAACAAAGCATGAGATTTTGGTGTCTCAAGTTATGCTGTCCCAAACTGTTTTTTGTAGGTGGTTCTTCACTTGGTAAAAATATTTTAGATAAGAAGCACTTACTGAGAAAGATAAACAAACAAAAAAACCCCAACCCAACCCTGGAAGCGTCTTGGTATACTTCTTCTCTGAAGAAGTTTTTCTGTCTATTAATTGACAGATGAATCAGACACTACTTTATTTCCTCTTGTTTCTGGTCAATACTCATGCTGTTAACAGAATGAGCCTATAAATCGAGTAGGATTGCACAGTAATTGTTCTGAATAGAATTTTTATCTTGTCAGTGGAAGTTCATTCTGAAGATAGTCTAATATTAAAGATATTATTGAAAATACTGTGGTTGGGTGTCAGGAATGAAATAGCAGCAGAATAGGCAGATGACTGTTATAAAGGGCTGTTGGGGCTATGTGTGTGTTTAGCGTGAACTGGAAATCATGCTAAAAGAAAAATTAAGTTTGCAATGGGGTAATTTAGAAAAAAAGTCATTCTTGTGATTCATTCTTCTGCCAGGAACAACTTTGTGGATTTATTCTTACTGTGCTAGGGAATTATTAGTTTTAATTGCAATACATTTTTAGTAATAATTTTATGAACAAATTGAATTATAGTTAATAATAGGGCAACTACCTTATTACCTGAGATTTTTAGATGTCTTCTGTTTCTATTAAAGTTTTACAAATTACTATATCTTCTGGAAAATGAGTTGATGTTACAGGTTGCTTCAAGATGCTGTTTGTTTGCCAAGTTGATCAAAAAATGCATTTTCTTTCCCTCACATCTCAGAGGAATTCAATGACCGAATTTTGCAACCAGAACTAACAGATACTGAAAAGATGTCTCTTCATGAGGAAGTACAGAAAATTTACAAAACTTATTGTTTGGATGAAAGCATTGACAAAATTAGATTTGACCCTTTTATTGTGGAAGAGATTCAAAGAAGTAAGTTTGAATTTGAAAGGATAAATTATACTGGAATTTAAACAGTGTTCTGTAATAAAGTGAAGACTAGTTCCTCTAAATATGATCAATCTTTTGTTAGTTTTACAAATTGTTAACATCCTTGCTGTATTGTGCGTAAGCCTTGTTTTGTCAGTTTATTTCTATTTTTTGTCAGACTCATAGTAGCTTTCAAAGCGATCACAAACTCGGACCAGAAAAACCCAAACTTTATATACCCATATACTTTTTTTTTTTTTTTTTGTAGTTGCTGAAGGTCCATATATGGATGTTGTGAAACTTCAAACTATGAGGTGTCTTTTTGAAGCTTATGAGCATGTACTTCATCTACTTGAGAATGTTTTTACTCCTATGTTCTGTCATAGTGATGAGGTAAGTGTGAAAGATTTGAAGGGGTCTTAAAGCAAGATTGTATTGTTTAAGGATACCCTATCTACAAGTCATGTGCATGTTTTCCACAGTCTCAGTAAGAAAACTGAATTTATTCTAGTTCAACACAACATCAACAGAATAAAAAAACCCCTCTCCGTTTTTTGTTATAACAATTTGTGTATGACACTGTTAATGCAAAATCCTCTCCACCCCTTCTTTTATGATTGCAAATTTGGTGCCAAAGTAAGCTGTCTGGTAGACACAGAACATTATCAAGAATCTCTTTGTTTACTTCTAAAATATAGTGGTGCTTAAAGAAATTTACAAAGGTTTTATTTAGGTACCTTCACCATTTTGCAATCCAGCAGTTGTCAGGTGTTTGTTTTCAGGAAGGTCATTCAAAGCAATTTACTAGGCATTTAAGATTGTTCTATGATTGGGTTCTAAAGGCAAGTTTAAAAAAATAAATCCCCACACTGGGCTGACAGCTGCATAAAGCCTTTTAATATGAAAGATTTTAAATGCAGGGGTGAGTCTGAATTCTTGTCCCTTTTGGAGTTTGTGTGTGTAAATCAGGTTGCAGGTTAAGCTTCTTGCATTTATTTGAGGCAGAATACATTGACTTGTCCTGGGAAGGGGTACTTAACCTTACTTGGTGTTATTCTTAATGAAGTGTATTTCTCAAAAATGATATTGATGGTCATCTTTCCCATCATAGATGTAATATTTAAAATACTTGAGTTTTTAACAAGGAAGACATGTATTTTGGTGTTTAATTCTAGTTTTATTTCTGTTTCTTTTTTTTAATCCCAAGACCATGTAAAGTAAAATAAGTAGTCCTGGGAGTGTGTATTGCAAATTTGGTCTGTCCTTTTCCAGATGAATAATTCTAGCTGCTGGATTATGGTCAGCTTGCCTTTTACTTCTGTTCTTGTTTTCTGAATTCTGCAGTGTCGTTGTATAGTAGCCCTTACCTCAGTTACTCTGGTGTCATCTTTGATACCTTATTTATCTGTTGTAGTACTTCAGACACCTTTTAAGAGGAGCAGAGTCACCAACACGCAATTCAAAGTTCAACAGGTAGGTATGGTAGAATCTTTAAGTGGTTTTCTTTGTTTTATAGCTAAAAGTGTTAAAAATTAAACCACAGGAATTTTGCTACTGCCTGATACTAATTTGGCAATATTAGTATCAGGCAGTAAATATATATACAGTGATAATAACAATGTGGAAATAAAGTGGTGATTTAATTGACTATATATATAAAATACCATTTTGTTGCTGTAAAGCTGGGTGGTCTTAGATTTAGGGTCTTACAGGGATAGGTGTTAGATGCAGTGTACCCTGCATCTAACCAACCTGGTCATGTAATGGGAATCTCCTCTTGCATGAAGGAGGTTTTGCCATTTCTCCCAGGTCAAATGTGTTTTTCTGTCCCCCAGTTCTCCCCATTTGTTGCAGAAATGTAGCATCAGAAGCCTTGTTTCTGGGTTTGGAATATATATTTACAGACCACCTTCAGGCTGCTTAGGGCCTATGGAGAAGAGGAGCATCTCCTGTGTTACGTATGGGTGATCTTCTGTTGTGGGGTTGGGCTGAGGAAGCTTGAGGTCTCATAATTTCTTGTCTTTAATTTTATGTTGAGTGGCTTAGCTATAGACTAGCCCAACTGAATTGCTCTTGTGGTAAGGAAAATTTCAGTGAGACAGTCTTTAATTGAGATAAGCTTTCTTTCTTGGTATGAAATGAGATCCAGAATACTGTAGAAAATGTTAGTGTTTATCATCATCATCTTTGATTACTCTTATAGAGGAGTAACACCAATTATTTTTCTTCTGTTTTCATTAGAGATATATCTAGCAGCAGCCCTCTTGATTTGCAGCCTACTTCGAGGTGTATTATCATGAGATCCCTTTCTTCCCTGCTTCCTCAAAAACTATATGATTGTTCTCTTTAATATATCTCCACTGGTGACACTTATTATGTAGTCTTTATAGTTCTGGTAGATCCAGGACTCAGGCTTTGGTGTAGTACTTTCTCAGATTGGTGCTGACAAGCTTCTGTTTCTTAACAAAGGGGCATAGAAGGCAGCTAAATCAAACTGCATTTCTCCCCTATGTGATAGTGACTTTAAAACAGCCTCCAGCTTCTGTCAAAGATCGCTACAGGGTTTTATCCAGACCTTTAAATCTAACGTCTAGTATCCTTCCCAAAATTATTCAAGGGTTGAAAGTATCCTGTCATACACTTCTTAAATCTAGTTAAAGTATGAAAACATTTAGGTCAGGTCGTTGATGCTTTGCTTTCGTAAACAGAGAGGTTGAGATTACAGGCAGTCTCAGCCTGGAGTTTTTGAAATACATTTCTGGCTACAAAATAAGCAAATTTTGTTTGGGGACTGTTACAACATATTCCCCTGGAATTCAGACAGCATCCATAGCATTACAGAAAATGTATCTGGTTTACATTTCAGAACAATTTAAATGCTCTGAGTATATGTACTGGTTTATGATACAAGATACATTGTGTTCCTGAAGTGGTGCCTCAGTGATTGTTTCCATGAAACAGAGGTCCTATCTGCAAGCAGTTTGTCTGTTGCTTTGGAGTTTCCCTCTGCAGAATCTGGTGCAGACAGTCACTGCCAAGGGAAAGAAAAAGCTTACTTATGAAATTGCTCCAGATATTATCCATGTGCACATACCTTATCTTGCTTTGTCTTCCCTACTGTAGTATTAGTTCCAGTTGAGAAATTACATGCAAATATATATTGAGAGAAATTACATGCAGAGAGATGAGTTTTGTTTTCCATATCTTTGATGCTTTTTAGGGGTACTCTGTGTGTATTCCATAAATACTACTTGATCTGACTTTTTAACCAGCAGTAGATATGAAATTCCAGGGGAATGTACATGTAGGTAATGTGTTGAAAGATTTCACTTATTGTAAGATGAGGAAATTATAGAGCGGTTTCTAGAAAATACAAATGGGAAAGTAGAAAGAAGTGACTGTCAGTGTGTAATTTCTGGTTTGAATCACTTTTTTTAACTATAGAAAATAATCAAAGCTTTTTGTGTATAGATAGGACAAATTATGTCCTATGAAAACTGCTAAGGTAATAGATAAAAAGTCCCAAGTGTTTCTGGAGCGTAAAGAAGTCACATTGAGGATATTCTGATAACTTCATATAACTAGTTGTGGTTGTCAGCAGTTTAACTCAACTGGTATTTTCCACCTAATGTTTAATGTGTGTGGCCAATGAAAACTGGTGTTTTAAGTTTCAATTCTGGCAACTTAATTTTGGATGTGTGGAAGAGAGGACAAGAATTCCCTTTCCTTCTCTCATATTTATGTATTTGTAACACAGTACTACATTACTTAAAGGTATTCTGTGTTGGAAGTCTAAAAAGAAAAAAAAAAAGCCATTATGTGATATAAACTCCCAGATTTCTGGATATTTGTATATCTGCCTTGATCTTCTACATACCATGACCACATCCTGATTTCTCATCATTGGGGTAGCAATAAAATTAAAACATTTTTCAAGTAAAGGATCAAGTAGAAAATAGATCAACAATTTTGTGGAGTGGCTAGGAGTAAAACCCACAGAATTAAGTCTGTAAACAGTTGTGTGCAATGTGATTGTTTGTCACCATCAGTTACAACTTGGTGGGATATGTTTCCAGTTTCACAGTTCACATAACTAAAGATGGTATAAAATGCCTTAGAATCAGTTCCTCTTGTAAAATGAAAACTAAAATCTAAAATTTGAATATTTTAGTCCTGTATCAGTTTGTCCACAATTCTGTAGCTCCAGTGAGTTAAAATAATGTGTGTGGTGACTGTGTTTATTGTTAATCCATTTAAACATCTCTGTTGGAATTACTGAGTTGATGGCTGAGGCATTGGTTCCATGTACCAGGTTATGTAGAATATAAAAAATGCATGACAGTTCTTAAAATCTGTGAAATAATAATTTTTAAAGATATATTAATAGTGGTTTTTACAATCTCTAATATGGGGTGGTAGGGGGTGGTGTTATTGCATAAAATAAGTCCACAGCCTTTTCTTTGTATTAGCCAAATGAACTAGATTCCTGCATGACCTCTGAACGTAGGTTATAGAAAAAGTTAGCTGCCTTTTTTGGCATTACAGGTAACTTTGAGAATGAAAGTTGTTCTCTAAATCGGTAGCCACTTGTGCTGAATGTCTACGAAGACCTGAAAGTTTCAATAACTGAGGCTTTAAATTCAAACGCGAAGACTGTGATGATAAAAAAGTGTGGGTACTGCTCACATTTCACTTCCTTAGGATTTTAGGTCAGGAACTCCTACCACAATTTTTATTAATCTGTAGTGATGGTCAAAGCCTATTCAGTTTTGTTGAGATAGCTCTGTCAAATTTTTTTTTTCCTTTAACATTATTTTCTCCTGGGCTCTGAGGTAATTTATGTGCCTGTTGCAGAAGTAGTCTGAGTTTGGATGACTTCCGGTAAGTCCGTCTAACAATAAATGTTGTGTGTTTGTTACACTGCATCTATTGTGACTGCATCACACAGCCTTTATAACAGCAATTAACTTTGTTTTAGTTGTAAAAATGTGAATGTCTTCTCTGGACTAAACTGCATTTCTCCCCACAATGACCTTTACTTCCTCTTCAGAAGTATTTAGAAATTGCTTAATTACTAATTTCATAATTTTGAAATATATTAATATATTTTTGCTGTTAACAATTTGTCTGTTACTAGTTTTGAAATATATTTTCATAACTTGAAGCATTTTTTTTGCCTGTGACTGCTAGCTGCTCACATTTCCTTTACTCCATGTTACATTTCCAGATCCTGTTTGAGGTTTTATCCACTTAACTGCTTGTTTATCTTGCACAGCTGTGTCCAGGATGATCATTGCCTAACTTTGCATGCAAATATAACCATTTTATGAATATTGTCAAGCACTCAAAACCAGCATTTCCATAAATCGGTTCTCTTTGCAGCTTTACTTGTGACTGTTACAGGTTTGATTCCAACATATGCTATTTTTCATAATTTGTTCTAGGTAGTCTTTGATCACTCATTAATGCCTTAACAACTGTTCAGTGGCTTGTTTCTCATTATTCGTGCCTCTTTAAATACATGCTATCCAAACTCAGAAAACAATTTTTTCATCACAGGCTTTTCCTTAGAATTTGTCAGAGCATCAGTATTTCATGTATTACTCATACCATTCTTGAGTCTTGAGGGAACAGTATCAACTTAATTTTACAGGTTAGGAATAAAGGTATACATAGACCCTTCTTATTTTTCATGTGCCAGTTCAGTGTATTAAGTTATAATTTGCTTGAGTGTTGAGCAGTAAGAAGTACTTGAGATATAAGTGCAGTTCATTGATTATTAAGTGCAGCTCTATGCACTCAGCATTTCTCCTAACTGGGTGTAGGGGTTTTAGCCAAAAGAAAATGGTACTCTGACTTCACGTGCTTGTGGATATGCAGCTTGTCTGATACATACAACTTCTCTGGTACATCTTGACCTGAAGAGGTTCACAGCAGCATTCTTCAGCTGCATAGCCCTGTCTGATCACTTGCGAAGGTCTGTTCAGTGTACTGCATGAAGCACGGATCCTGCAGGAAGATTATTTTGCAATCATCCATGATTAAAGAATGCCACAGTGCATGGGTACTAATGTAATCTTTGATCTGCAGTTCCCAGCTTTAGAGTGAACAACAATTGTAATTTTTTAATGTTACGTATGTGTGACTTCTGGAGCTTTTTTTTTTTTAAAAAAAAAAAAAAAAAAAAAAGTCTTCCTCACATCATTCACCAGGCATGTTGAACCCGCAGACTCCCCACTCAGGGCCCTGCCAAGAAAGAAAATATAGAATGATGGTCTAATAATGCTGTTACATGGGTCAGCACTAGAGGGAGTGGGATACTTTTCCCAAAGAGTTTTGTGTATGTATTTGTTGACAGTACTCGAATTGACAGGTCTTGAAAGACTTAGTCTCTATTCAACTGGCCACTTCCTTCGCTCTTTCTTCCCTCATGTCTTGAACCTGACCATATCCTAGTCTTCGCTTCTGCATAGCCCCAGGTTTTTTCTTCTATTTCTACTTTGCAGTGAATCTATTCCTAGCTATCAGGTTGAGTCCTGGCCCCATACAGCTCAGTACTGCAGTTACAGGCAAAGCTGTATTCTGTGTTCAGCTGGAGGATGATCAGTTCAGGAAAGAACTGATCTGAGCCTGGAGTACTCTTAGCAAATCTCTGAGTTTGTGCAAAGTAATGTTTTTGCTCAAAATTGTGAGAACTGCACAGCCTTTCACAGGAATGATGAAAACTTCCAGAGTCAAGCCAGAGGTCTGAAGTATTAACCTTCTAGAAAAGCTGTCCAGTTTTGTCTGAATAAAGTTTGTCTTTTGGTAACCCAGTGTTTAAGCTCTGGAACAACATTCAGGTAGGTCCTCAATGTGAAAAAGTTCAGTTCAGCACAATAACATGTAGAAGAATTTGTTTAAAAATTGAGTAAAATTGTTCAAACATGGATTTAGACTACAAACAGCCAAGAAACCTTATCTTTGGTTAGCAGATATAAGTAAGATAGATGGTGCCTGTCTGCTTTGAGGCTGACAATATGAGACAGAAGAAGCAAAAGATTTGGAAAAAAACAGTGGATTATTTATGCATTTTTAGTCATGTACACAGTCTGGGTAAAATAAACAGGAAGATCATTAGTAACACATGGAGATTTGAGTAGGTGGTTGATGATGTCAGCACAGTTTTATGGATGATGAAGATGCATTACCTGATCATCTCTGCTGTTCTGTTGGTACTGCTGTTCAGTAGTTAATAATTTTTTGTTTTAAAGGAAAAACACTTAGGATATTTTCCGGTCCTCTAAAGTACTAATTGTGCTTTTAATCTCAGTAATCCATAAAACTCTTTTGAGTCTTTGATGCTGCAGTTCACTGTAGTGTTTTTTAACTCGTCTATCAACTATTTATTAGATCAACATAAGTAACCTCAGGCTGATTCTGTATTCAACAAAAACATTTTTCTTTCCAGAATTACTAGCATTTCTATATAAGAAATAATCTTTTGTGTCAGGTCTTGTGTAAGGGCACAGGAATGCTATAAAATCTGTTCTGTTTTAAGGAGTGTACTTTCTGCCCAATTACCTTTCTTTTTCCATACCTTGTTGCTTTTTGGATGCTCTGTCATAAGTGGCAAGACTTTAAAAGTCTTCATCTTTCGGTCAGGCTCTTCAAGCCAAGATTCTTCAGTTGCATCTGTTTTCTCTCATTCTCAGTCTTGTTCCTTGCACATTCCTTTTGTCTGTCCCTCATGCTTAAAAGTCGAGATCTATCTAGAATCATATGTGCTTGTAAAATTCTGGGATGTTTATATAAAAAAATGCATCTAATTACACCATTTATAGTACTTGGCAAGAGTGGACAAATATTTAAATATGAGTACATGGAAAAGGACAGAAATAGTGACTTTCTTGGTGTACATGCCTGTAGCAATACCACAGTTTGCTGTCAAAACAAAATTGTTTTGCATAGTTAATTGTTTATTTTATGTCCTGCATTACTGGGATACTATTATAAGAGTGTTAATGTTTGCTCCTGGTTAAGCATACGGGAATCCTATATCTCTTAAAACTGTAATCAAGAAATTTTGCTGGTCGATCAGAGAACAAATTTGCCACAAATCAATTTCAATTTAAGTGGAATTGTAAATACATTGGCTAGTTGTTTTTCTTATCTGCAAAAGATGTGCACGGCCTACTGAGCTGCTGTGTAATAATATGCTTTGTGTTATGAACTCTGGCTTCTGTAATCCTAGGACCACACAGAAGAGAGGAGAATCATTTGGAATCAGCAGAATAGGCAACAAAATAAAAGGTGTATTCAAAAGTTCTGCGATGGAAGGAGCTATGTTGCCTAACTATAACCTAAATGAAGGAGAAGATGACTTCGTGAGTAGAAGCCTTAATTTTGTCTTTAAGTCTTTGTTGTTGTTGAGTTTTTCTGTTTCCTTATTTGAAAATGTTAAGTTTCTGCCTTTTCTGCTGTCTTACTTCACTGCAGGCTTTCCATATGCTGGCTTCTGATTAAGTTGCCTTGTTTTCCCTGCACTCATTCACAAGCCAAGGCCACATCCCCAGTTAGCGTGCCACTGAGCTTATTGCTTTAGTATGGAGAAGTACTAAAAGTAGCAGTGTCGGACATTTTTGTAAGCAATTATTTTTTCTCTAAAAATTTACCATGCCATTTTATAATTCTGGTATGCATAGGACTGCATGCATGGCTCTTCATCTGAAACTTGCCACAAGACCTTAAAATCACAAAACAGTGGAAAAAATTGCTGTCACGTTGGTCTGTGATGCACCATTTTCTTTAAAGATTGTGAGCCGATAGTCCTTTTTCATTTGGGGGTCTCCCTGAACTTATGTTTTTGTTTCATGCTAAATAGCAATGAATAGAGCCAATGGTAGAATTCTTGCATGGGACATTGGTATCTGAAGCACAGTTGATGGACAAATGGGAAATTTTAAAAAGGGAAAGGAGGGAATTGGTCAGAATCTATTGGTAGCCATGTATTTTTTACAGTGTATCTGCCAATTCAACCTCTTGTACCTGTTCCTAACAAATAAAACATTTAAGGATTTATCACCTTGATAAACTGCTAGCTCATTTTCCATACCCTAAAGATAAAAGTAAAAATATGAGTTTATATTATTTCACCTTGTTCAGAATTGTTTTCAGAAGAGGGTGGGAAGGACTCAGCAGCTTAGAACTCCAGACAGGTTGGGGTTTTTTTGTTGGTGGTTTTATTTCCTCTAAGAGGAGAACAAAAGGGAAATCTTCTGTACAGGCCGAATCTTCATGTAAGTCATGCCTTTAAGGGGGCAGGACTGTTCCAATTTATTTATTTGGACAGTTAAATTCTTGTTTCTGTTACTTCTCTCTTTTTGAAGAGAGATTCTAATGAAAATGGGTTAATTTTGAAGCATTGCTGTTGTAGATTCAGCTAGCCAGAAGGCACTGAAGTGTAATTCCCCTATAGTAGAGGTACTAGTAAAAGTATAATTGAAGCAGTGGAGCTCAGAGAAGGATCATGGTTTTGTGCCAGAGCACAAGGTTATTTATGGGAAGTTGCTGAATTCAGTGAGAGACAGACAATATCGAGTCTAATCCTTACTAAGGAACATTTTCAAATGGACAGAATTATTTTAGCTTAGGCAAGAATGGAAAGTTTTAAGTGCAGTGTTGTCTCATGTATCTTCATTAAATGAAGGAAGGATACTACATTTTTAGTAAAAGCACCTTAGACAAATTTTGGGGAATAGTAAGTCCCTTCAGTTGGTAAGTGTGGATGGGAAGAAGAAATGTGAAAACATTAAACTGTAAAACAGTAAACTAACTGTAAGGTTACTGTGTATCCGAACAGCTGGACAGAGCCATGGCTTCACTTCATGAGTGAGTACTGAATATACAGAATTCAGTGCTGATACTGTCACAGTGACTGCTGAGGTGTAGTTTCCTAGCAGGCATAACAGGGCCAGAGGAAGAGCTTGCTGGGGCAAATAAAAATGTGATCTGGGAAATGACAGTATAATTGTAAGATGGTGGCAGTGCAATATACAGAGTTAGAAACTTTTTGATTAGCTTATTTACTGAGGATATGAGAGTTATTTCCTCCTACACAGATCCTAGGTATTTTAAGTAGTTGGTGTTAATGTAAACTTGGTGTATTTAAGGTAAATAGAAGGTAAATAAGGGCAGTGAAATGGAGTTCTGTGCATTGTGACAGAAACTGAACTTTTGCTTCTTTTTTTTTTTTTTTTTTTTTTTACAGTCATGTTGGTTGCAGTTAAAACCTTAGACTAAATGGATGTTTCCTATAGAAAATCACATAGAGATAGAAATATATGTTAGCAGCTTTCTGTGGCTCTGGGCAGCAACTTTGTAAGCTGCTAACATTATAAAATTAATTCCATGAAACCACACTCAATTTTTTCAGCTGACTTTTAAATACAGCAAAAGAGATTCTGAATATTAAAACACAGGTATTGTTCTCAAGGCAGCCACACATGACCTGTAGACTTGAATTTGTGGCTTTGTTGGATGAAACAAATGGAAAGAGACTGAGGCAACGTAAAACTATTACAGGTTAGTGATCTGTCTAGGAAGAGGATTAAACACTACAGAAATTTATGCTTTCTGGCTTATTGTTAGTGAAGGTTCTGTGGTTGTCATAATGGAAAAGCCTGCGTATTTACATAGGGTTATTACAAAAAACAGGCTAAAGTCAGGTGAGGGATCTTGTGAAAAGAGGTTATGAACATGTGAAACTTTGCTGATGATTCCATATGACCTCAGAAGGGCTGAGTGAAGAGGTTATGGCCCTTTTACGAGCAGTTTAGGAAATGACTGTCCCATACCTACTCTAAGCCATGTGCTAACTCTGCAGTGTATGAAACTAAATAAACAGTAGGAGATGAGAGCTGCAAGCAATGGTAAATTAAGAAAAGTAATCAGAAAATGTAGACAAGAGTTGAGTTTTGATCAAGTCCATGCCTCTGCCTTTAGTTTAGTTAAAAGCTACAGAATCAAATAAGCCTGAGTGTTTCTAGAATGGTCTTGCATTTTTGCTAGGAGGTCCTATGTATATTTAGTGCTAATGCAAATATACACGTTTAGTCAGGAATAGATCATCACGTGTTAATTTTGGCTGCCGGTAGCTTAGGCATCACAGAGTAAGGGTGTGAGTGCAAATTGCACCCAGTTCATGCCTCCCCATCTGCAGAAACTCAACTAGCTGGTTTTGCCTCGGAGTTGCTATCCTGGAACATTGTTCTGCTGTTTCTATGCAGTGGTGACAACCATGTAAAGCCTGTGAAAGAGGGAGAATGAGGGTAAGGCCTCGTACAGAAGACTTTGTAGATGTAAAGCTACCTGACAACTCTGTTGTTGTGGTTCAGAGCGGATCTGTCCTATTTTTTCCTTCTTCGCTGCAAGTTTGTCCTGCAGTTTGTGAGCCCAAATTGTTCATTCCAGGCTGAGGGTATTTTTGTTAGTTTTGTGAAAGAGCATAGCCTGTAATTTAGTTCTCATTGTGAACCACCTGAGCTGAGTGTGGTCTCTGTACAATGGCAACTGAGACTGGTCTTTTGCCTGTCACAGTTTCTCTTTTCATTGAATAAATTGGGGAAGTGGAAGCAAAAAGATATTTTGAAGAGATTCAGTCAGTGGATCTACAGAGATCTGTTTTGGAAGACAGTGTCCACACTGCAAACAGTTTGAATATCATTTCGGTATTACACTAGGGCAAAACAAAACTGGACAGATTGCTCACATGTCTTGAACCTTTATGTTTCGGTTGCAATTGAGTCATGAGCATGTGAATATTGTAGCACAGACACAGCCAGAATTATTTCAGGGCTGCTGTATTGCCTTACTCTGTTAATTAGATTATCCCAGTACAGGCAAAACTTGTTAAATTACCTAGGCTTGGCCTTTGAGGGGAATTTGGCTTTAAATTATGGAGGGAAAAGAACTTGGAAGTGAGTTTGTGCTTTCCAGTTTGCTGTGGTTTGACATGTTGTAAATTCATATTGTGGCGGGAAGAGCAAGAGGCTGGCCACTGCTGTGGCAGGCGCAGGCTGGAAGCAGGACGATGGGCTTGGGCATTGCTCCTCGCCAGGCAGCTCATTGCCACCCTGGAGGGTTGCAGTGTTTTAGAAGCCCTTGCAGCATGACAGCGGGCTGAATTAGATTCAAACAATTTCAGTTTTTTAGGGAAATAGGACTATTCATTTTTATCTGCTTCCCTACGCTTGTGAAAAGACAAGAACTTTTTTCTTCAGCACCTGTTCGGTGAGTGCTAATCTCCCCACAAATTCTCCATTCTGCTTTATTTTTGAGTCCTATTTGAGTCTAAGGCCAGCCCTACCCTTCCTTCTCACAGATGCTGTCTCCTCATTTGTCCAAATAATTTTCTTTGGGTCATTTTCTTATTATTTTTTCTGTGTGCTGAAGATGAGAATTGATACAAGCAGTATTTGGAGAAATAAGTAGCTCTAAACAAGTGGCTGTTGAAGCTTGGATTTTTCAGTTTAGATATTTAAGATGATCTTTCTGTTGTTTATGGTCCTAAAAGATTTGTGGCACTTCTTTTGTCATTGCTGGGGACTTGAGAATTGGGTGTGCTGTGTGGTACTTGGGTGATTGATCACCTGTGGGCAGCTCAGCATGTCTGTGATGAGCAGTGTTAGGAGCATAAACTGAATGTTGATGTGGTGCTGGGACTGCAGTTGAAGTTCAGAGGGATTTCTTCAGCGTTCACGTGGCACACTTCTAAGGTCTTGCATATGGAAAAATCAGTGTTATGTTTTATAGTGTGGAGTCTGAGTTTATGAACTCCAGGCACCCAAGCTGCACTACACACAGCCAGGAAGGATTAGGTCCATGCTGCTCTCTGGTGCATCTATTCCTGGGAGTGTGATGCTGAAACTGGAGCTGATGGGGAATGCAATAATACTCATGATGGCTTTGCTTAAAATAGCTATGGGCTGCGGGAATAATTCAATCCCAATCGTGGTTGTGTTACACCTTGCAGAGCAAATGAGACTCGTGTGTCCACAACATACTCCATTGCACTTGGCTGTGGGGGTGGGAGACCTGCTAGTTTGGTGCACTTTGTTGGCTTCTGCCTCTTGTTATGTTTAGATGGCTTATTGGCCTGGCCTAGTCTTCAATTTGAGTCCTAGTGTGCTAGAAAATGCAGTGCAGCTAAATCTGCTGGACCCAAGATGTTTCCTGTAGTATTCAGTCTGTATCTAAGGCATTCTTCCAGCTGTCTCCTTTAGTATTTCTGTTCCCCCTCCCTCTTTTTTTCTTTTTTTCCCTGAACTATCAGGTGTGGAACTTGGAAGTGCTATAAAAACTTTCAGATATCACTAACAGTTGCTAACCTCAAATTAATTTGCAGTGGCTCTAAAAATCAAAATTAGTCTACAAGAAAGCTCCATTAATGAAGTGGGTATTTTGTTCTTCTATTACTTAATGACACATGCTTAAAGACTCAATTTATGTTTCATTGTGATATGTAAGTTTTGCAAAGGTAGACTGAACCAATTAAAATAGAACTGTAGATCTTGATGTTTGAATCTTTACAGATTGAAGAAGGCGTTATGGTGATGGAAGATGATTCTCCTGAGGAGGCTGTTAGCACCCCAAATACACCCCGCAACCTTGCCGCGTGGAAAATTAGCATTCCATATGTAGATTTTTTTGATGATCCCTCCTTGGAAAGAAAAGACAGAAAGGAGAGAATTCCTGTGTTCTGCATTGATGTAGAGAGAAATGATAGAAGGGCAGGTATGTGGTGTTGTGGATAAATAAAGGATCATTTTAAAATGAACTCAGAATATTCTAGTGTGCTGTGTTCTGATAGCTGTTGCAGTTTATTCTGCATCATGTTCTTCTGATTTTGAAATAATGACTTGAAAATTCTGAGGAAATGTGTTTGAGAGCTAATTCCTTGCACAAATCAGTTGCATTTAGACTTCATGCCAAAGTTTGAGATTTTATCTTTCCAAAAATACTGATCCTATGAAGCGTATTAATAAACACTTGGCATATTTTTCTTTCACTTAATCTGAACTTTGGAATAATGAACAATAAATAACTTTTTATGTAACCTGAAAATACTGTTCTTAAGAAATGAAAATATTTTGCTTCTTAGGAACCATCCTTGTTTGCAGATAGTTGTATAATATCTAGATAGCAATACATCCATACTGAGTGGGGAAAATAGCATCATCCTGGGGCTACACAGGTTTGTGCTAGTCAAACTAATAGTTCCACAATAAGCAGGAAGTGTTTAAGTTATTTAGTGATATCTTCCAGGATAAATAATGATCAGGATGCAAGCTGATGGTGTGGATGACTCTATTCAACAAGTAGTATTTCTGTAAATCATTTGGTGAAAAGTTTGAAGAGAGATCTAACATGGTTAGCCTTAATAAATTTTGAAGTTATGCAGCACTCCATTGTTTAGATCTTAGGCATCCCCTAAATGAGGTGATAATTTCCTTGCTAGTACCATATCTGTCTACCAGATATGCATTTTAGTTTAACACTTTAATTACCTGGCTGGGATTTTATTTTACTGCAGTATGGAGGACTAATATCATAGAGGTTTTTCCCATAATTATCTACATACATTTGCTGTTGCTTAATTTGTCTCTCAAATGGCATAAAACTTTTTTTTACTATTTTTAACGGGTTTGGTTTTGTTTTTGTTTGTTTGTTTGTTTGTTTGTTTTTTCCCAGTTGGGCATGAACCTGAGCACTGGTCTGTCTACAGGAGGTATCTTGAATTTTATGTGCTTGAGTCGAAGCTAACGGAATTTCACGGTATGTTCTCCATCATCTGGAATGCCACTTTCCACTGCTGTGATCATCATTCAGTACTGAGCTGAAGTTTAAAATAATTAAACCAATGTTTCCTGCATTACAAGAATAATTTAATCTCCTTGATATCTTAATTAGGTACGTTTCCTGATGCTCAGCTTCCCTCGAAGAGAATTATTGGCCCCAGGAACTATGAGTTCTTAAAATCCAAGAGAGAGGAGTTTCAGGAATATTTGCAGGTATAAAACTTCTGGAGCAAAGAATATTCTAAAAGCAATAATATAAACCTAATAAAATAATATTTGCTCTTTTTCTTGTTGTTTCTAAGTAACTTGAGTTATAGAGAGGATTCAAGGGGGCAAATAAAACTTTTTAAAGATTCATGTGACTGAAACCAACATCTTTTGCAAATGGAAATATCTATGGTAATATAATGCTCTTTGAATATCTTTTTGCTATAGAGAAACTGATTTTTTTCTTTCCTTCTGTCACAAAGAAACTTCTGCAACATCCAGAATTATGTAACAGCCAGCTTTTAGCTGACTTCCTGTCCCCTAATGGAGGAGAGACTCAGTTTCTTAGTAAAATGTTGCCTGATGTGAATCTTGGTATGTAGTATGCTAGATGTTTATCTGACAAATAGTAATACTGTAGATACTGTGATTAAATGATAGTAGTAATGAATAGCTAACTCTTGTGTAAGGATATGAATGTGAGAAGTAAGAACCCAGCTCCTTTACAGCCCTTAAAATTATAGCTCAGCAAGCGAGATATGCTGATACTTTGTCATTGAAGAGAAAAGACATTTTGAGATTATGGAGAAAGTGTTTAAATGGTTGCTTTTGAATTTTTGTGTCAGCAGGTGATAAATTTTATCTAACAAATTTCATAGTTCAACAAGACTTATAATATTGTCATGAATGAAACCTGCAAAAGTCAGTCAGTGTTTACAGGTGCGATGGTATAAACGATTTCTTAATATAAACTACCTTTGGGTGTTAGTTCATTAAAATCTGTTTATTTTAATCTGAAAACTGTAATATTTAATACTTCTAGTATTACCTAGTGTTAACAGTCTTAACGTGAGCTACTTAATAGAATTTGAGGCAGTGGTGTGTGTGATACAGCCAGGCCAAATGGAAATTAAAAAGTTGAGAAATTCTTGATGCCTAATGTAACAGTTGATAATAAATCCAAAAGGAAAATTGCAGTGTAACTTTACACTTGGCTGCAATGTAATTGGCTCAGGATAGTGGACCTGAGCTGTTACGGTCAACCTAATGACCATTCTGTCTTCATGTATTGCAGCACTTGTGGTTCTGGCACCAGTGTGGTCCAGGAAAGCCATGTCTGAACTGTGCCACTTCATTCCTCCTTCTCCCAGTCATGGTGTGAACCTGCTGGGGTGGCCGTTCCCTTAGTGTGCTTACCAAATTGTTGAATGAGATTTTGGTGACAGTCCTCCAGTTAAAAGGTTTTGTTTTGTTTCAGACCTTCCCTCTAGATCCATCTGTAATTGTTAAAAAAAGCTTATCATTATGGTGTTTACTGTCATGCATCTCAAGTCTGAGACTATGCTTCACTTCCATAAACACAATTTTAACAAGTCTTGGCATTTCAGTAGGGCTTTTTGTGGGGATGAGCAATTTTATTATCGTTTGATCATTGTACATACTCTCTGGTGTAAGTTCCAAATTGAATAACATATAGATAAGAAAAATATTGCTGTAAAGGTAGTGCTTAAAATAAAACTAACTCTGGACACTTTACTTTTTCAGCATTCAGAGTTACTGTTCTGTATCCTGATAGCCTTAACAAGACAGAAGAGCTTATTTTTAAGACCACGGCTGTAGTCTGTCCAATTTGTAAAACTTTTCAAGACTGGGTACTTCCAGAAGCTCTCCAGATTAGCTGACCTTTTCAGAGAAAGAGGAGAATCTCAGTTTTTGTGATTTCTTTTATTTATGAAGGATCAAGAACATAAATACAGAAAATTTTGCCAATACTGGTGTCATAAACTACTGCTGTTACGGTGCTATATAGCTATTTATGTTTGAGCTGCTAGGAAAATTACAAAGGCAGATCTAGAGGGGTTTTATTTAAATGTTCAGATAATCATCTGTATTTTTCATATTTTAAGTATCTTTTCTTGAAGAGTACTAAGCACTAAGTTATAAGCTGGATATGTGGAAGACTTTATTCTTGTAGTTTTTTTGTGCCGTATTAAAAAAAATAAATTAAAAACTGTTGTTTCTTTAAATTAAGTACTAGACAATGAGTATATAAAATATAGCAGAGCAAAATGTGCTTAAGATCAGGCAGTGATAACAGAAAGTTTTCGTTTGTTTCTAATTATAGGTAAAATTATAAAATCTGTTCCAGGAAAGCTGATGAAAGAGGTAAGTTTTCCAGGTTGCTAACATTTTAACTTCAGTAACTGATTATATGTGCTTACTAACTTATAGGCTAGTCAAAAATTTGGAAACTCAGTTTTTTGGGTTTTTTTTCCCTGTAATTATGTAAGTGATGGATCACTCGTGTCTTATTTCAGAAAGGCCAGCATTTGGAGCCATTCATCATGAATTTCATCAACTCCTGTGAATCTCCGAAGCCTAAACCAAGTAGGCCTGAACTTACCATTTTGAGTCCCACTTCTGAAAACAACAAGAAGGTACAGTAAGTCATCTTTCTTCCCCACTTTACAGGAGTGGGGAAAATTGACCATACTCTGAAAACACAAAGAATAACCAGAAAAAAAACCCCATAAATATAACAACTTACCTATTCTGTGTTGTCTTCTCACAGAAGAGAGAATAGTAGTGCAGAGAGCTTTGTGGTCTTCTGTCTTGTAAACATCTTAGTCTGAATGATTTTTGAAGGTTTTGTTTTGGTTTGTTTTTTGTTAATTCTTAACTGTGTTTGGAGATGAGTATACACAGTAGAGAGCCTGGAAAGCACAGAGAGAAGAAGGAGGAAAGCAAAGGAATAAAATGGATAATGTTTTTGTGCCATAAGGCAGCTTCCTTTTTGAAGGGAAGAGCTTGAGTGTTTGATGAAAGTGTGACTTGTCAAAGTGCTACAAGCCAAAATCGTTGAGGTGCTGATACCTGTTTATCTGCCTTTAAAATGTTAGTATACAGTTCATTGATGTCTGGCATATGTAATAGGTTAACTGTATAACTTATGTATACTTTCTAATATTGCCACAGTTAAAGTGCAGTACTTTCAATCTTAACCTTTTACTTGAATGTAGGAAAAGATAGTTACTTTCTTAATCTTCCTTTATTTACGGTTAGAGCATGATAAAACTTACTTAAAAGACTTCTGTTAGCTTCAGGGGCTTTAAAAAGGTGCTGGTCTTCATATTTCTATGTTAGACTGCTTTAAAGTGTTAATGTACTTGTGGAATTTACAGAGGAATACTGTTTCTGGACTGGGATTTCAGAGACCCAAGCTCAGTGTTAACAGAGTTGATGTTATTTGACACAAAATACTTAATGTGCATACACTTTGCCATGTGAGAGGTTCTAAAAGAAAACTCAGTGCTATATGTTTTTCTGCTATCTCGTTTGCTTTGGGAAGAGGAGTTAAAACTGGGCTACATATGAAACTGGACTATGTGGGTGTCAGTCTCTTTTCCCAAGTAAGGAGTGATGGGACAAGAGGAGATGGCCTCAAGTTGCTCCAGGGAAGGTTTAGACTGGATATCAGGAAAAATTTCTTCTCTGAAAGGGTTGTCAGGTACTGGAACAGGCTGCCCAGGGAAGTGATGGAGTCACCATCCCTTAAAAGCTGTGTAGATGCAGCACTTAGGGACATGGTTTAGTGGTGGACTTGACAGTGTTAGGTTAACAGTTGGACTCTTAAAGGACTTTTTCAACCTAAATGATTCTATGATTTTCTGTAAGCCAGGACAATTTTGCAAAGTGATAAATTAGAGATATATAATAGTCTAAAGAATAATGCATAGCATGAGGGGGCAGGGGACAAAGACTGGGGTGGCTTTTCCTCTCTCCTCTAGTGCAAAAACTGAGGCATCAGATGGAGGTGGTAGGAGCCAGGTTCACAATAAAAAGTGGTAGCTCTTGCAATGGTTAGATTTGTGGCGTTCCTTGCCAAAATACGTTATGAATACTAGAAGTTTACCCAACTATAAGGTGAGACTGGACAAATTCACAAAAAAGGAAATAAATACATTCAGGGTGAATACCTGCAGAGAAACTGCATCCAGCTCTTGAACTTTCTTTTTTTCGTTTAAAACAATTGGAGGCTGGAAGAGTATTGGTGAAAAGTACTGTCCATGCTCATTCTCCTCTTGCAAGAGTTAGAAGCCCAGGATCCATTTATGATTCTTGTTAGTGATGGGCTGTTGGAAAAATGGGCCCTTTGATTTCCTTCACTATGGATGTTTTGTAGTGTTATGACACTTACAGAACTTGCAGCTACAAAACATTTATACTGATGAAGTACAATGGCAGTTAAATCTATTAATTTGTTTAGAATTCATCTTCTTAACTTGAAGTCTGAATTACTACAGGAAATATTGTGTTAGCTTGCATGCGCACACACAAAATTACTATCCTTCATTTCAAGTCCTTTCTTACTTTAGATCCAAGGTTGACATTTTTCTATTGCTGTCTGTTCAGAGGAGGGGTGTAAATGTATCAACAGTTTTAAAAATCAGATTTTGACTTGTGATAGAAACAATACATAATACTCCAAATTTTTTTTTTATAAAACAGCTGACAGCATACTACAACATAGTATGAACAATGTTAATTTTTTTACTGTGATCTGTTAAGAACTACTTGAAGTTAGTAGTTTTAATAGTTAACATACTTAAAACATTTGAGCAACAAGCTTTGCACTCTGAAGCATTCCTATGAAGACAGGGTTCTTTCTGTAGTTTGCTTGAAAAACTTTTTTAAAGGATCAAAATTAATTCTTTAAAATGGTGTTCAAAACCATTTTGGCTTGTAAAAGGTTAAAAAAAATATAGTATTGCTCAATTAAAAAGCAAACTTACTCTCTGAAGTGTCAGTATGTTATTCTTGTAAAAAGAACATGTGTACAGAAATTCAGGCTCTGAAGTGAAGTTTTCCCAATTCTTTTTAGCCATGGTGATCCCAGGAAAGCTAAGAGCTGCCTGCAGTTTGGCTTTCCTTTTGGAATACTGAAGTTTCCTTAAACAAAACATAGACTGCCTTCTGTTTTCTAATGTCATTTTTAGAAACAGTATTGTGGGGGAAACCTCCTTATCATGGCTGATTAGCTGTCCACGTATGCACTCCATTGGAGACACCGGTTTGTAAAGTCTGAGTCGAAGTTGTTTGCTTGTACCGCTGCTTACCCTGTAGGAGGTGCTTTTGTCATGAGATACAAGTTTCTCTGCAGAGAGTAAAAAAGATGAGGCTAGCCCCAGCTCTCCATTACTTCTCACTGTCTATTGTGAGAGAGAGTTCACTGTTTTTCCAAGCAACTTTCTTTCTTAGCTGTTTTATGATAAGTAGTTAGTTTTATGTATATTTTAGATTTTATTTTTCTTCCCCAGAAGAAATCTGTTTTATTTTGGGGAGTCATTTGCTGTAAATGGATGAAAATTTTCAGATTTCAGTATATCTCCTGCTGAGCTATGGTTATTATTTAGTGATGGGCACTCAGGACACTTGCCTTGGGGGATGCTGCAAGACAGGTTCTATGATCAGATACTCAGTATCTGTTTGTGCTCAAATTATACTACCAGTTTTGACCAGCAGAGGCATGTATGCACGAGGAATTCATGTGTTGACTGCTTTCTCACTAATTTCCCATCTATCAGTTAATCCAGAGCTCACACACTTGCACGTTAACTATAATTATTAGAGATTTGATATCCTGTGTTATAATATCTGTGCTGTGCTGTGTTATGATATCTGCAGAGTCTTCCCATGCACATTGTGAAATTCATCCCTCTTGCTGATTTGTTGGGATGCTTGCGCCTTCTTTGGAAGACCGTTTTCTCTTTCTCAAGTCAGCCCACGCTTAGGAAAAGCTTTGTGCTAGGTGCCAGGACACTGCACCGTTTACTTCTTGTCACTTCTTGGATTTGATCTGTCAGCCACACCTGTGTCATCTGCCAGACTGCTTTAGTTCAGATCATTGATGCTCTTTGGAAGCTTTGTTTCCTGGACATATCTGCTTGTCACATTTTCTCGCATTTTAGGGAGCTGTCTTAGAACTCATTAACTGAGTTTATTTCAGATGAAACTAAGCTGGAAATTCTGTCTAGGAATGCAGGCACAAAGGGTGTTCAGTCCAAAGGTCAGAGCAAAGGTAAACTGAGGTAACACCCCTCCCTACCCCTCCAAATACACATGGCATAGATGTCAGTTGTTCAGTTCTGCAGTTTCACTTCTGTTGTGCCACATGATGTTTTCATGAAGATAAAAGCATGGTGCAGTAGTCTGGCACCCTTACCTCCTGGTGATGGAGATGAATGCTAAATGCCTGTACCAGGATTGGGTGACCTGCCTGTATGGAGGCAATGAGGAGATCTGCCAGCAGCCAAAGCAGTGGAAGGTTGGCACGTTCTGTGTGCCCATCTGTGAGAAGAGCATGTTCTTTCATAGCAAGGAAGTTCTTAAACACAGAATTTTGTGGTAGGTGCTAGAGTAGATTTCCAGTTAATTCTTGTATTGCCACAGTGTTCCCATATACCTTGTCTGACACAGATCTGTTTATTCTAGTATCAACATGTTGGAATTTGTTCAGAGTACAGTACATTCCCTGGTGCTTCTGCTGCCAACTCGTTTGCCGTGAATAGGGTACACCCAGGCTACCTGTTCATCAACAGGCTGAATAAGAAATGTGTGAAAGTCTGTCAGGGCAAGTGAAAGCTGGAGTTCAACCAGAAATGTGTCTACTTCTCTGAATGCATGCCGCTTCCTTTTGAATATTCCTGGTGCGTGTGTATGTTTGTATGTTTTAAATATCGGTGGAAAGACTTCTAGTTAAAAGTGCATTATAAACATGTGTAGTCAACCTTAGTACAGCCAATAGCAATTGGATTTTATCCTGTATCAGATCCACTAGATCAAAAGAGTTAGCAACCTCCCTGGTTAAAAGAAACAAGTGACTAAAGAACCCTGCTCCCCACTCCTAGGGGCACCAACAAGATCTCTGGCTTTCCCAGCTCTATTTCTATTCTGAAGGTCTGTAAGTGCCTTGATCATCTTCTGAACATACTTTGTCAGACTTGCTAGAATAGGTCAGGAATTCTCAGCTGATGCAAAATTGCAAAATACGCCTACAAAGGCATTGTTCTACTAGCTTGTGATGACCTGCCAACAGGAATGAAAACTGCTTTTGCAACGGTGACAGTATAATGTATGTTTATGCATAGTTATTTGGAGGAAGACACGGTTGCTTTTCAATACACTAACTGATGTGGTTTAGGTGCTACATACATTCTTTCTTCTTAGCATTTTAGTATAGTCACCTGTACTTGGCAAATGAGCAGGAAAAACAGTGGAGTGGTTCATACCTCTGGCTGTAAATATAGTTCATAATCTTGGTAAACTTTACACCTGTGCTGGAATGTATGGGTGTATATTTGCATGTGCGCTTACTAAACCTTGAGTAGCTTTCTTTTTTCTGTTAGGTACTTTAAGCATTCATAGTTATTTTGCTAGCTTTTCCCATCAAGGTATAATAGATAGCCTGTTGTACAAGGGATTAATTTGGTCTTTTTCTTAATACAGGCGTTTTATCTTTCACTTCAGGAGCTTGGCTTCCATTATTAACCTGTATTAATCCACAGAATTTCCTCATTGAAAGCCTTTTAAGAATTTTTTGTGGTTTCAATCACAGTTACTGTTTAATCTTAAAGATATGAATAATGATAGCATTGGAGTTTCTCTTGCTTGTCTTTCTTTTAGTCTAATTACAACAGTGAGCATTATATCACATCTCAAATATTAACATGTTCAGAAACACTTAAAAGCAAAGTCCTGTGATTATCCAAATTGTTAATATAATCTCGAATTTTGTATTAGATATCCAATTGTATGTTTTCACTTGGCTTTCCTCTGAGGCGAAAATTGTGGGAAGTGCAAAACACCTAAGTAGGGATGTAATGCCACTTCGTGTTATGGTTGCTGCATCCTTCAGACATGCATTGCTGATGACTCTAGATTACACACTTGTACTGGAATAATGCAAAGGATATACTTTATAAAAACTGCTCATTGGCTCAGTAATTTTGGCATGCATTGATCCACTGTTGCTTTCTGAAATGCTGTGTGCAAGAGCCTAAGCTTTCAAAGCTTGTCAGTGATCAAGGAACTACTATACTTAAGGTATAAGACACATTATCTGTGTGCAGAGGTACATACAACTTTCAGAAGATACTGCTCCTGGTTTGGGGTGAAAGTTTAAATAACTTTTGGAGGTCAAAAGCTTTGCCCTAAGGTGGCCTTCATGTTTGAGGTTTTTTGTAGATCACCTACCGGACTGCTGTTAATGTTTTAGTTTGGCCTGTACACGCTTCTCTGAACCTCTGTCTCTGTAGCACAGTGGGCTCCTTTGAGTTGGCTCAGTATGTATTGCCTCTGTCAGGTTGTGGGGTGTATCTAAAAAATAAATGAGGCTCTTGTTTAAGTTAGAATAATTCAGCTAAGGTTTTCCCAGTGTCCCAGTTTTGGTATTGAGGAGGATATAGACTTCAGTTTATACAGGATTATTTAAACAACATACCAGGGATGCTTTCATACAGTAGGCGTGAATAATCATGTGTTCTTTTGTTACTTTTCTGGATACCAGTCATCCACCAGTGCATTAACCATATTTGCTCTTTTATGTAATGTATGTAATAACTTGGTGGTGTTTAGTTTGAGTGAACTTTGTGAAGATAATGCCAGCAGTTCAGCACTTAACAAAAGAGAGTGCCTAAACAAGTACAAGTCAAAACCTGAGTCTTACCACGTTTCCTGATGTAATTTTTCCTGTGAGTGCAGAGCATTCTATACTTGCATGATTTCAGAATTTATGAATTCTTGTACTTGCATGATTCAGAATGTGATTTGGGTGTTTTATGGCCTGATTTATTTCAGGGAGAATTGCTTGACAGAAAGTGAACCACATATAAGCAAATTGCTTCCTGTTCCTTGGAACTATTTTTAATTTGGGAGTGATACAGAAAAATCTGTGTCAGTAGCAATCATCTCAACTTAGGCAGCACTGTAATCACATTGCATTTGTTTCTAGTTCTGGGATATTTTTTTAGAAGATTGACATAAACTTTTGAACTATACAGAGTATTTTGTATAAATTCTTTTTATCTTTAGATCAACAGTTTTGGGGATAAGATACTTTAAAATAAACTGTTAGTGGTGATTGTCAGATACTGTTAAATGTGGAGACTCTCAGGATTTAGAGGATTCTTCCCTCCCAGCTGTGGGAGCCCACAAACTTGGCGAGGGGTAGGGTAGGTGAACAAGGAGTACTGCCTAGGTGGTATGGGACTCCTTATGGAAGAGCCTCTTGGGATTTTGCAAGTATTATAATGATATCTTTTGGGGAAGAGCCAATGGTAAGGAAATGGAGGAATTGTGGTGGTGGAAACATGGGAAAATAGAAAAATAAAGGAATAAAATGAGGAATTGTATGAATGGAAAAAACACAAACTTCAGTAACAAAGATTCATGAAGTTTTTGCTATCAGTAATCAAGCTGGCAGGGAAAAAAAGGGGATTTCTCCGTGTAAAAAACGTTGGATATTTTGTCTAGAAACAATTGTATTGATTTCAAAATGGAAGCAAACAACAGAATGGGGTGCATCAGGAATCAAAGCCTGTGAAAAAAAGTCTAGAAGGTATCAGGAGCACAAGGGCTCATGAACTAATGTTGCCCTGCTGATTTGTTCTGAATCCAGGTATTTTTGTTGGTGGGTATCTTGGCAACATGTGACAACACACTCTTTATTCCCCCCACCCCCCTCCACCCCTTTGGAAAATGAAAGGAGGGGGGTGGGAGGGAGGAAAACTAATTAATTATTTGAAAGCTCTGGACAAAAGCTACTTCTTATTAACCACCCTCCAAAAAAAAACCCAAATAAAGAACTGATGGCTATCCTTTTGCCTTTGAATGCAGTGTTTTCAGTCTTGCGTTTCTATTTTTAGCTTTTCAATGATTTGTTCAAGAATAATGCAAACCGGTCTGAGAACACAGAAAGACGACAAAATCAGAACTACTTCATGGAAATGATGACTGTAGAAGGAGTCTATGACTACTTAATGTATGTTGGTAAGAAGTGATTTTCATGCCAAATATGAGGTTCAAGTTCTTTGGTAAGAAATAAAATTCTATTGTAGTACTTGTATATAATTCAGCACTTGCAAGCTTAACATTACACAATTTAGGACCACAGTCATTCTTTAAAAGGCTTTATTGCTGTGCTAAAATATCATAATTCAGCATTCATTATTGCTCAGTTGTTTCGTTATATCTCTTTCTTTCCATGTCTCAGACTATAAGCTTATGGGAGAAGGTCTCTTCCCTTTTCTCAGGTGTGCCTAAGCTGCTTGTATGCTCTGGGAACTAACTGATAAAAATAGTTAAGGGAAGTAACTGATAAGCAATCTGTAGAGCACTGATTTTTTTCAGTGTTACACTAACAAAACAAAAATATTATTTACTTATTCACAATCTTTTTTTTTTTTTTTTTTAAAGTGATTCATTTATCATTAGTATTAGGAGAACCTTATAAATGTGTGTTACTGTAAATTTGCAGGTAGGGTAGTTTTCCACATTCCTGACTGGCTGCATCATCTCTTGATGGGAGGAAGAATTCTCTTCAAAAACACATTGGAGCTGTACACAGACTATTACTTGCATTATAAGTTAGAACAGCTATTTCAGGAGCACCGGTTGGTTTCTCTGATAACACTGCTGAGAGGTTGGTAAAAGTTACATCTTTGAAGTTAAAATACTGCTTTAGTTTGATGTTTGAAATCCCTTCTGTTAAGTTTCCAAGTACTAAACATTGGAGTGCTTAACTAAAGCTAATGGAGTTTTAAAAATCAAGTGGGCCTATAAAAAGTTTGCAAAAGCTCCTTGCAGAAAGATGCTGTCAGCCATGTTGTCTGTCAGTGGTGATCACAGATAAAGTATTGTGAATAATAACTTGTTAAGGTGTGCAAAGAACAATAAAACAGAATAAGGTGGTTTAGTATATCAGAGTGCAAGTATTTCATTCAGTCTTTAAATTACTTCTCACTTGTGTGCTGCATCACAGAACTTAATTGTTAATTTCTTTGTTCCCTATGTTGTGGTAGGTTTTTGAGAGGATTAAGTGTTCTTGACCCTCAAATAAGGGAAGGGGTGAGAGGTTAAATAAAAAATTTAAAAATTACTTCACAGCTATAGAGAAGCAGTATCTGACTACAGTCTAATCTAAACACATCTGTCCAAAGCTCTGGAATCAAGACAGCTCTGTCCTTATCAAGCCAAAAAGAAAGCTTGTGAAAGACAGAAAAGGAAAGGAGTAAGTTTTTCAGAGCTTAAACCCAAAACTGAGTGCCTAATATTTCTGATGAACAACAATTCTTGTTTTTTCATTCATAGGTAAATCTGAATTTTTTTGACAGTTTCAGACAATGTTTTAGCACAAGGTATAAGCACTGCTTATAGTTTTGAAAGTATAAGGGAAATTATAAATAAGGAGATCATAACTAACCTAAAGCAGAATTGATCCAGACCTAGAAGGTAATGCTTTAAAAATTTGAAAAGAATGGAAACAAATTAGCAAAAGATCGTTGTCCTCCACACAGGTGGGGTATTCTGGATTTGATGAGGCTAATGTAAGCCTAAAACTATTGTCTGGCAAGGCTACAGTTCCCTTTCAGTCAAGATCATACAGAAAAGACTCAACTTCAAAGCCATAATCCAAAATACTTCTTCTATCTCCAGTGAGGTAAAGCTGCCTAAAGACTTTTTTTTCAATGTGTCTTTGCTGAAGATGCCATCTTCTGTGAGAATACTGAACCTCGCTCTCTCCAGGATAAACAGAAGCGAGCAAAGCAGACTTTTGAAGAAATGATGAGATACATTCCAGGTTCTGTATTTTGTGACTCTATGATTATGGTTAATAGTTCAAGCAGATGCATAACCCAAATACAGTCACATTAGCTTTCCAAATCTAGTAATACTTATTCTGCTGAGATTTGAGTTGACTAGAACACTAGGTATAAGAATCCAGGAGTTCAGTTTCATCACTTCAGTGTGGCTGACTAAGGTTTGTAGCATAGTGATGAATAAAGACATGGTAGAAATTAAGAGCTTTACGGATGTACTTTAGTACCATAATGTCTTCATCTTTAGAATGCTTGTATGGTTTGTATTTTATCCAGATGAAAACTGGGTTAAAAAAGGCACAGTGTGAAGCCAGAAGATAAATCTTCTAACTCTGTAAATTGGGGAAGAGGGGCCCATTTGCGAGGTTATTCAGAAAGCAATTAAAGAATTTCAGCTTGTGGTTTATTAAACAATGCATTAGGACAATACATTGATACTATAAAAAGTGTAATAATTAGGCATGCAGCCCTGAAGGAAAGGGAGGAAAAAGGAGGAACCAAAGGCATGCTTGTTTTTCCATTCACCGCTTTAGACAGATAAAATTTGTACTCTAATTTAAACTGGTTTTTAATTACTGGAGTTCTGTAACTTCATTGTATAGCTGTTCTGCAGTGCTTCCTAATGACTTGTGTATTTGTTGGTATCTGGTCTAGATTTAATAGGCAAGTGCATTGGGGAAGAGGCTAAATATGAAGGCATCAGGCTTCTGTTTGATGGAATGCAGCAACCAGTGCTCAACAAACAGGTAACTTGTGACACGTGAGAAACTTGCCTGTTGGCATAGAATTTCCTGAAGTGAATGTTTAGATATAGCAGAAGAGTGAGCTCTAATTCAGAGTTTAAAATAAAAAACCAGAGTGTTGCTTTGGAGTGTTCTTACTTTTCTTTATTTTCTTTTAGTTAACTTATGTTCTGCTGGACATTGGGATTCAAGAACTCTTTCCAGAGCTGAGTAAGGTATGTGTTAACTCCCTTCAAGAGCTGCAGAATTCTTCAAGCTGCTAGTGAGTCTGTGCATTTTTTGGGTTGTTCCCTTGTAATATTAATTTTAAATTTTCAGGAAAATCTGTATTTTACTAATGTGTTGAAATCGTCAAAATCTGGATTATTTATGTTTTTGTTAATTAGCTCTTTCCAAATCAGTTTAGGCTCATTTGTCTCTCAGCAATTCTGAGCTGCCTTTCAGTAGAATTGGACAGAGCAATAAGCAGTTGGGATCTCAGTGCCTTTCTTTTTGATTGATTGTGTCCATTCTGTTTTATGCATTTCCTGATTTAGGAAATGAATTCTGCATGCAGAGCCCAGATTGAGCTTCTGCATTTTTCTTGATAATATTTGGCAGGAGGGTTTCTTACCTCTAGTTTGGTCACTGCAATGTTAACTCCCAACTATCTAGATAAAGGAGAAAAAATTCGCATAACACAAGATGATGTGTAAATGCATATTGATAAGGTTATGATCCATCTGATATTTGTAGTTCTATATATAAAACCTTAACAGAGTTTTACATAGTTATTTTACAGTTTGATCTTCCTGGTAAGCAGGAGATAGCTGGTTAACTAGATATAAAACAAACAAACCCCTCACTTACAATAGATGTTCATTGCATGAGCCCTGTGTCTGAGAGCTGCAGAGTTCCAGCAGTGACTTGTTTTGCATGATAAACAGAAACAAATGTTAAATGTCAGAACAAGCTGACTGCTTTCACTGAAATAAGGCCATCTAAGCAAGTCTAACCTGCTCTGCACATCAGCTCTATAGCTGCCCTCCTCACATCAGTGTTCACAGTTAAAAACTGACCAAGGGAATAAGGAAGTAGCCTGGAGACTTGTGTGCTGTAAAAAGACCTGTCTTAGCCCTGCTGTTTTACTCTGCTGAACTATTTTTGTATCTCAGCAGCTAATAACATATATATATATATATATATATATATGTGTGTGTGTGTGTTATTTTATATATATATATATATATATATAATATAATATAAATTATATATATATATATATAAATAAGCACTGGTCTTTCTTCAGTTGATGCTGAAAAAACCTGAAGGGTTTGTGTGTTTTAAGTATTTAAATAGTCTTTAAAGCACCAGTCAGGCCCAGAGGGTGGTGATCAGTAGAATGAAGTCTAGTTGGGGGCCAGTAACTAGGGAGGTATCCCAGGGGTCAGTTCTGGGCCCAGTCCTGTTTAACATCTTCATTAATGATCTGGATGGTGGGGCACAGTGCAAGGCTGGTGATGACACCGAGCTGGGAGGAGTGGCTGGTACACCAGGAGGTTGTGCTGCCATCCAGAGGGACCTTGACAGGCTGGAGAGGTGGGCTGACAGGGACCTCATGAAGTTCAACAAAGGGAAATGCAAAGCAGCTTGGCATAAAAGGACCTGGGGGTCCTGGTGGGCACCACATTGACCATGGGCCAGCAGTGTGCCCTTGCTGCAAAGACAGAAAATGGTGTCCTGGGCTGCATTAGGAGGAGTGGTGCCAGCAGGTCAAGGAAGGTGATGCTGCCCCTCTACTCAGCACTGGTAAGACCACACCTGGGGTACTGTGTCCAGGTCTGGGCTCCCCAGTGCAAGAGACAGATGGACATACTGGAGAGTCCAGTGAAGGGCCGTGAAGATGATGATTGGAACACTTCACATATAAAGAAAGGTTGAGAGGTTGAGATTGCTGAGACTGTTTATCCTGGAGAAGAGAGTGCAAAGAGGACAGAGCCAGGCTCTTTTCAGTGGTGCCCAGTGACATGACCAGAGGCAGCGGGCACAAACTGAAACACAGGAGGTTTCCTCTGAACATCAGGAAACACTTTTTCACTGTGAGGGTGACCAAGCACTGGCACAGGTTGCCCAGGAGCTGGTGGAGCCTCCATCCTTGGAGTTATTCAGAAGCCATCTGGGCATGGTCCTGGGCAACCATCTCTGGGTGGCCCTGCCTGAAGTTTGGACTAGATAACCTCCAGAGGCACCTTCCAACCCCAACCATGCTGTGATTCCATAACAGTGTGTATATTTGGTGGGGTGAAATATTCTTTCTTCAAAAACAAATCAAGCAAAGATTTTTTTATTAATTTGTCAAGATTATGTTTTGTACAACTTCTTAATCTGTCCTTTTGTTCCATGTAACTGTGACACTGCCTGACTGCTCTGAAGTGTTTCAGAAAACCACCTGCTGAGGAGGGACATCTAATGCTACCTTTGGTCCCAGTGAAACAGCAGAGTTGAGGGCTGGGCTCCCCCAGACCTCTGTGACTGATGCTGATGGGAATGGAGTGAGGGCATTTACTGGTGAAGATTTCAGTAGAGGAAAGGAAGAGAGAACCTAGAACTTCAGCTGTTTTCCTATTTTGGATGTACTGAGAGTAATACAGAACAAATTACTGCTTCTGTGATGTTTCACAGTGGGACCTGGTTGTGAATGAACTAAGACTCTGATGGACTGAGAGGCAGCTGAGGAGGGATCACTATGAGAAGAGAAATGCAGGGTAGACATGGTATATGGGCAGAGGGCAGTGGTTTTCATCTGAAGCTGTTTAAAAAAAAAAAAAAAAAAAAAAAAAAAAAAAAAAAAGATATTCCCCAAAGTCACAGCAAATTGACTGTGAAACCACTTGGTAAGAGAATTGTTTCCTCCAAACAATTGTAATCTGGAAGTTAAAAAAGTAGTGGCTGATCTCACTTAGCTATCAGTTGTATTGATAGTGGGATTGAGTGCACCCTCAGCAAGTTTGCTGGTGACACCAAGCTGTGTGGTCATCCAGAGGGACCTGGACAGGCTGGAGAGGTGGGCCTGTGCAAACCTCATGAAGTTCAACAAGGCCAAGTGCAAGGTCCTGCACATGGGTCAGGGCAATCCCAAGCACAAATACAGGCTGGGGGATGAGTGAATTGAGAGCAGCTCTGCAGAGAAGGACTTGGGGGTACTAGTGGATGGAAAACTGACTATGAGCCAGCAGTGTGCACTTGCAGCCCAGAAATCCAACTGTATCCTGGGCTGCATCAAGAGAAGGATGGCCTTTCAGTACTTAGAGGGTCTACAGGAAAGATGGGGAGAGTCTTTTTACAAAGGCATGTAGTGATAAGACAAGGGATAATGGCTTTAAACTGAAAGAGCATAGATTCACATTAGATATAAGGAAGAAATTCTTTGCTGTGTGGATGGTGAGACACTGGCACAGGTTGCCCAGAGAAGCTGTGGCTGCCCCCTCCCTGGCAGTGTTCAAGGCCGGGTTGGACGGGGCTTTGAGCAACCTGGTCTAGTGGAAGGTGTCCCTGCCCATGGCAGGGGTTTGGAACTAGATGATCTTCAAGGCCCCTTCCAACCCAAACTATTATATGATGTGGGGAGAGGGAAATCACTCCAATGACTCTTTTAATTGAGCCTGGTCATTTATTTTTGAGTTGCTTGATACCAAAATGCACTTGTAGTTACAGTGAAGAACAGAAAAATATTTCAGGTTGGTAAGGATTTAAAGGGAAAACTGAGTGTCCTGGATGTGTTGTTTTGAGCATTAATCCTTCAGTGGGGAAAACAGTGATGGGAGACAGAAAAATTTTCATCAGTGATGATGTGAGTCTGCTTCTCACTTGAGATCTGATATCTTGAAAGTATATCGTGCTACAGGTACCAATGTGGATATATACTAGATCACGTGATACATCCTGTGTTTAATGGCAGCATGCACATGTGAACAAGCTCTAGGGATAAGAGCTGAAAAGCGTGTTAGTAGGAGTTTTGCCTTCTATACAATGTACAGCCAGTCCCTTGCAAGTCTGTCAGGATACAAGGAAAATGGGCAGCTGAGAGAGGAGAAGCATTCCTAGCAGGGGAAGGAAAGAAGTCCAGTTGAAAAAATACCATGTTAGAGCCATTGCCAGAGCAGAAAATTGCTGTGTTAAGAAAACTGTATTTAGCGGTTCAGAATGGGGGAGGTGAGAACTTTCAGAGAAAACAGAAAATACCTATTTTGAGAAGTCTTATTAAAAACCTGAAAGCTGTAGCCTTCTTTTCTTTTAGCTCTGGTTTCAAGTGGATTTTATCAAATACCATTAATCACTGCAGCTCAGTTCAGTCATTTATATGTAAATATGCATTTCCAAATTTAGTAAGTAATTTTTTTTTTCTCCATTGCTGTTTAACAGGGTCCAAAGGAAGCTAGCTCTGTATCCTGTTGGATGTGAATGCAGGGACCTTGCTGGACACCCAGTAGAAACATCTGCTGTGCATTATTGTAATGGACATGTGACATTTTAACTTTGCATTGTATATTTTCTTGTAAATAACATAAAATTTAAGTTCTAAAAGATCCCTTTATGCAATAAAGACATTAAAATTTAATACCAACTACAAGTAAAATACTATCTCTACTTTTTATTTTAAATTTCTTTTAGATTTTATCAGTAAAAGTCAAATTAATTTTCCCAAAATTGCTGCCTATGCAATTACAGGGTGCCATAAAATAAGACAGCTGGAGATCAGCCATCGTATGTTTTGCTAAAAGAGCACTTACTGTTGTCTTCTTTAAAGGATATGTGGAAAAATTGTTTGGAAGAAGTTGTAGAATGCTTCCATTAAGTTATGTTTAACTGTCTTTAACGAATCTTACTGATTTTTTTTTAAAACTAAATTACATGATTGAATCTGTTGTATACGAATGATCTCAGAACTATCTTTGGCCTTCTGCTTTCCATAAGCATGGAAAATCATGTGTGTAATTTATTTAATATCTGACCTTCAGCTTTAAAGCACTCTTAAAATAATAATGGGTGTGAAAAGTGGTTTTGACTTTTACCTTAGCCTTTATTTTCCTGCACTTTTCTTGTCTGGGTTTGGGTTTCTTCGGATATCCTCTTTACAGGCTTAGAAAAGAGGATGTCTCTTCGTAACATTTTCTAAAAATTTATTAGTGTATAGAAATGTGTGGAAGATTTTTTCCTGTAAATCTTAATTTGTTGGCTCAGCCTTTATAAAAGAGACTTTGAAAAGGATTTTCCTTGTGTGGATTTTCAACAAGTTCTACTCACAGAACAATACAGAGATATTTAATAGTCATTCCTCAATTTTTCTTTACAGACAACACCTCCTTTCTTCTTATTTACAAACAAGCCAACTTAATGCACTATCAGTGTTCTTTGTCAATAGAGTTTGCATTATCTAGCTGTATTATTTTTGCATACCTTTTCCTTCTGTTTGTCAAAAGGAAGGTAAAACTTATCTCTCTGGATGTACCAAAAGAGTTGTTACAACTCTGTAAAAACTGGCTTGCAGGTACACCTCGGACCGTAAGTGCACTCTGTTACTGGCTTTATCTTGATTTGGGGATGACCATTCTGTAAATTAGTAATTTTAGGGACTGGTATTGACAAAGCAGCAATAGTGTTACAAGTAATAGTGTGTCAAGATCAGTAGTTTGTCTCCCTGTTCTAACACAACTTAGCTGATGCAGCTGTGTAGTCCAGATCTTTTCATGCACAACCCTTGAATTTATGTGGAAACTGATGGAGTATTGACATTTAAGCATACTGAATACTTACCTTAATGTATCTCCTTCAAGTGTGCAGGTGTAGTGAATTTAAGAAGTGAGTGCATAGTGCGCTTTCCAGAAAAACAAAGCAGGTTTATTCAAAACACTGATCAGTTTAAAACAGCAATAAACATGGAAACATGTTGATGTCAGAATTTCAGATGTGAGTGATCTTAGAAAAATAATCATCATTTGCACTCATTTATGAGCAGTCATTTTTTGATCAAGTGTCAGAAATGTAACTCGGCATTTAAGCTGATTTCTGATTTTATACTCATTAGCCTATGTCTTATAACTGCATTTTTTTTAAACACAGCCTCCCCATAGAAGAGACAAGACTTTTGAGCTAGAACCACAGTTAAGATAAAGCCAGGTTATGCTGTAAAAAGCCCCATTACTGAGCAACTCCCAAATGCTGCCACAGTGCTGCAGGAGTCAGTGTGTGTATCTGACCTTCTCTCTGAACGTTGCTGATAGAGTAATGGTCATGAGTCCTGTGCTTTGGTCTTGGAAGAAGGTGTAAAACTGAGCATATTTATTTGTATGAAACATAATCAGATTGTTCTCACTCTAGATACAGTCCCCAAGCTGGTCATATTAAATAGTGAAGTAGATACACTCAATCTGTTAAAATTAATCAAAATTGAATCGAGCTTTCATTGCATCCTTTATTAATGGAAAACATAAGTGAGATGCTGCATCTTCAAAACTAAAATGGAGAAACTTTTTTTTAATTGTATGTAAATGGATCTCATGCTTTTAGTGACACAGAGTTTAATCCAGCTCCTTGAGACACTGCTGTAGGTATGATAAATTTGACCGGAAGGAAAATAGAATTATTAGATTGAAAGCTTTAACCCTGAGTGGAGATCAAAGAAAGGTATATACACCTATAATAAACTCATTTCTAGAAGCTTGTTTACATTACTGGAATCATATTCTTAATCAACTCTATCTAAAGCAGGTAAAAGAATGCGTTAAGTTAAAAGTATCCCTGTTTAAATCAGTGGTTGTTTTATGATGGAGCATTAATATTCACTGAAACTTCTTAAAACCTCAAACTGAACTGCAGGTACCTGCTGATCCAGACTAAAAGAAGTCATGAATTCTGTCCACTCACTCAGCGCAGTGCCAGGTTATAGACAATTTCTTGTGCTATTTACTGTTGACGTGCAGAAACCTAAACACTCAATTTAAGGTGTAAGAGAACTGTGATCTTTTTCCTTCATTATTATTATCTCTCCTCTTGCCTTCCTCCAAACAAAACCACTGTGAGCAAAAATCAAGTATGCAAGAACATGACAGTGAACAATACAAAAATCAGGGTGAGACTTGCTTCAGTAAGAGTTCCAGAGGAAAACTTTATTCGACCTTCAACTGCTGGGTAAACTCTCTTCATTCTCTGGAGGTAACGGGAAACAACCTCAATATCAGGTTCACCTAAGCAAACAAATAAAAAAATTAGTATCCTCTGTAGCAGCCTAGCTCTTAACTAAAATTTAAAAACCTGTCTAAAAATTGCAGTTTTAGCTCAAATTTTAAAGCAAACTGTTTTCTACAGTTTGCCATGCTGAATCGGTACACAGCAGCACAGTGTAGGGGTGTGGAGTTGTTTCTTGTGCACAGATAAAACATCCGTGCCCCAGAATTTTTGGTATCAACTCATATTTTACCCAAACCAAGAATTCTCTTCGGACTGTCTGGCACTTCTTTTGTTTTGTTTTGCATCTGTTACCACTGTAACTTCCAGTCAGATTTAGGTAGATGGTCTACCTGTTTGGGGTAGAGTGCCATAGATCTGGTAAAGCTATCACTTGTACCTTTTCAAATCTTAACTTTTTTTTAGGAAGAATTTCTAGTCTGTGTGCTGCTGCATGCACACACAGTATATGATGTAGATTTTCTGCAGTGGAAGATCCTCTTCAGTCACTTACCAACCATGTCATGAGCCCCTTCTGATCCAAGCTCTTACGATCCTAAAGTGCAACACCTCCATCTTAAAAGTAATCATAGTTTTGCTCCTCTGCTATACTGGAAAACTGCCAGAACCTGTCAAGTTGTTCCCTTTCAATTATTCCTAACAATTCCTCTCTTACATGAATTTATTTCTGCATGCACAGATACTTACTGAAAACTACAGCCTCCCCAAATTTGCAACCTGCACGCTGAACTTAATTAAAACATCAATCCTACCTGTGAGAATCAATTTTAAATCGAAACACGCTGTAGAACCAAAAAAATAGTCTGTAAGGTCCAAAAAGGAAAAGGTTTTTGGTAAAAGCATGCTTTTACCATCCAGAAGCTGAACATATACAAAATAAAAGTTCTGCAAAATGTAGATGCTACTAGAAGATATATTCTTTTAAATACAGCAATACATCCTCTTTGTTGTTTTCAGAAATAATGAATTTTAATCTCAACTTTTTTTCATGTTTCCCTTTGTCCTAAAAGCTGTACATGTCAGTTGTATGAATGCAGCATTTCTAACAGTTTGCATGTAACTTTAGAGGATATTAGGAGAGCTTTGTAAAACACCTCCTTTCGACCTCTCCAGCGTGGTGTCTGTCAGCACCCTGCGTGCTGCTGCCTGTAGAACTTGCAAGAGTCCCACCTGCTTTTGGAGGGGTAGAATAGTTCCTGCAGAGCAAGTCAGCATCTTCACCCTCTTGCTCACCTGAGCTGCACATCCTTAGAGGTAGAGGTGACAATTCTGTCTTTGCAAATACTTCTGTACAGTGAAAATTTAAAGTCTAAAATAACACTTTTGATGTACTGTTTAGTAATGAGTCCAAGTGCAAGGCAGTACATGTAATATGTACTCTAATGTGGTTTTTGCTTTTTTTCTGGTTTATCATGATCTCAGAACTGCTCTCTTAGCAGTGCTGAATTGATAAGACTCAATTTCTCTTTGAAACTCTTGTGATTTATCTGAAAAAGAATATAGTTGCTGGCTACAACCAAAACTAGCAATCCAGAGTAGAAGCAAATTTAATCTATCCAGTAAAAGCAAAAAGTCCAAGACTTGTACTACAGAAAGATCTTTTAAGTTTTGGGAAATGTTTGTCTTCTACCCTGTTGGTGCCCATACTTACCTTTACTGTATCCCAGATTTTTGTCCTTCAGCATATGATAGCCGTCCCCTCCAAATAACATATAGGATGGAAGAGTCACATTGTATATTTCGTCCATCTGGAGCGGGACATAGGCTGGGACGCGGCAGGCTGTGCAAAGCACTTCTAAGCTAACAACTCTGCTTCCTGGGGCTCTGGAGAGATCATAGACCACGTGGATGCCTACAAAAATACACGTTTGAGTGCCACTTTATGTGATGCCTATTGAACACAGAGGGTTAGAAGCAGTGTCCTCCATCATCTTCAGCCGACTCTTTATATTAGCTTCTTTGACTGAGAGGTGGTATTGTTCTGAATTATACCAGTTAATGCCCTGTTTTCATTGCATACTATGCAATTTTTATGCAAGAAAATTTCATGAGATTAGAGAATTGCTGAAGCACTGTCCCACCTCAGTTACTTATCTGATCATCTGTTCTCATCACTCCTCCACAGAAGGAACTTACCAGTCATTTACCAGTCATAGGATCAGGATACTGCAAGATAAAAATACCCTCCCTTATTTCTGTAGGCATATGCTTTCTCATTCCCCTGGCTTGTTGGCTGAAATGACTTCTTTTAAAGCCAGCCAGCCACCCTAACTTAGCAGCTATTATGGATAATAGGTACTGTCCTGAAAAAGAAAGGCAGGCCAGGGCTGAAACTTGTGGTTTCTACTTAGTAGAAGTAGGAGAAGTAACATTTCTAGATGTGAGCCTTCCTCGGTCAAAGCCTGGGGAGAGTTAGGCCCCCAGAACAGCACTGCCAAGAATTTGCTGATCAGGAAGCTACTAAAGCTCGTCCAAAGCACAGACGCTCTTCCAACCCTGGCACTTTTCCTGCTCTGGATTTTCTGTCCCGAATCCTTTCCAGAGCTACTAGTTATCTTCTGTGAGGAGGCAACAAGCAGAGAGACTGCTACTGCTTTACCTTAGTGGTAGCTAAGAATGTGGTAACCTACTGGTGAAAGTGTGGGACATGGGTTGTGTCCTTGACCTGTGGGGATTTGAGATCACATGGAGGGGTAGGGCCCCCATCACCAGCCTACATGGGGGCAGAGGCATGGAGGGGGGGAAATCCATCAGCCCCTGCCCTTGAAGTTTAGCTTTTCTGCTAAATAAACAATAAAATCTGTGCTGCATCACAGAGAGACCAGGAATAAACATGACTGTAGCCTAGTACACATCTGGATAAATATATGGGAAACTGCAATTCAAGAAATGCCTATGTTTTTAATAATAAACTGTTCATCCCTAAAATATTTAGAAATTCACTGAAGCAATTCCATAGCCCACTTGGATTAACTCTAAAACTGTCAGCAATTATTATGCAATGGCACAAAATTATTTTGATAAACTGAACTTTGCAGTAACTGACAAAGAGATCCAGTCTGGGGGTTCAGGTAGGCTCCCAGGGAAGAACTGAAAACTGGACTTTGTTGTAGCTATTACTGTGTTACAGCCATGCTCAATTATATCTTCCTGTAGTTAACTGGAGTGTTAAACTAATGCCATTATGGGTTACTGGACCAACTGGAAAACCTGGCTCTGCTGAAGGGAACAGCGATGGCATGTGGGCTGCAGCAGCTCAATTAAACATACACAGGATAAAGTGTTACTTAGCTGGCACGTGTGAGGAGCAGGGCTAGGATGTATGCCCAACTTAATTTCCATTCTTAAAAGAGGCTTCCAGACCAACAGAAGGAATGGCTGGTTTGGAAAACTGAGAAGAGGAAGGAAGAAAACATACCTCCAACCTGCAGCAGCTCTCCGCTTCCTCTTCCATATCTGCGCACGCTGTGTTCAAAAGCTTCTTTCAGAGTGGAGCCTTTTACCCTTACCAAATCAAAACGACCTCCAAATGGCAAAACAGACAGCAAATCTTCCACAGTAATGCTACCTGGGGGAATGAGACTTTATTTACCTTTTTTTTTTTTTTTTTTAAATTTACAGAATTATTTTAAGATCGTTTAACGGTATGTTTTTGACAATGAACATGGCAAATATAATTTAAGAAAATGAGGGCCAGTGGAGGTGACAATCATATATTATCCCAGTCAAAGAACCTGCATCTTTATCATCCCGCAAGTATCAAGACCAATAAATCTGAGTTTGATGTAACTGCATTTATCGCTATTCAAATAACTCTACTAAAAGAGATTACAAACCACCAAGATGAAGAAACACAGCTCTTCTTCCTAAGGCAGTTTTTCCAATTGCTTAAGGTTTACTCACATAGTCCTACAGAAAGATCTAACTAAGCTGAAAAAGGTATTTGTTTTCAGGTTTCATTTATCAGGAAAATAAAAACTGTAAAGCCTCAGCACTCAGACAAATTGAGAATTTACTTATTCTGCAGCAGACTACAGAAGGCTCCCAGCGACCATACTGGATGACCCTCTACAGTAGGAGGTGAAGAATATCCACTCTTTCTTTGTTCAAGGCAGCAAGGAGAGAGGAAAATTATAAGAAGTATTATGTACAAACAATGCTAGAGACTTTTGTTAATGTCAGCCTGAGTGCAGTTGTGCTCTAATGATAGATAACCATTTGAGAAAGTTTGAAATCACTTCCGAACACTGTACAAATTCCCATCAAAACAAGCCTATTGTGTTCAGGCTTACATGATAACTTCATTCTTCCTTCTTGATAAAGTTGTCATTCAGCTTGTAATTTTACATACCATTAGTGCTCTGTTCATCAATGGGTGACCGTATCCCACCTCCATTCAGGATGCACATTGAAACATGGTTCCATGACTTTTTATCCGGGCGTCTGACATTCTCATAAAGCTACCAAAGGACAATGTTTAAACTGATTTTTAATCTTCACTTAGTCTAGGATCTGGAAATTTACACCCAATACAATCTGAGACTGAAAAGAGACAAAGATTTTATATCTTCTTTGACATTACCTTCAGCCCCACTGTAAAATACTTAATTATTAAAAAAACACAAGGCAAAACACATTAAAGTAAGTATTTTGCTTTTTTAAACTTTGAACAAGAAAAATATTTCCCTTTTTCTGTAATGAACTTTCTCATAATCTGTGGGTATATGACACAACCAGGGCAGGTCAGCTAAGGAAAGGAAGGATGATTTTTTTTTTTATTCCGATGACGGTGATAAAGACAAATGATTTCAGCATATTTGGAAAATTGGGAAGAGTACCTTAAATTTGGCTGTACATTAAAAACATGTAGGGGAATGTATAAATTAATCTAGCTCTTGTTGTAAATTGCTGGAAATTAAGATTTTTCAATTTCTCCGAGATTTGGAGAAGTATTTGGAATGGTCTTGGCAAACTAGAAGGATGTAGAAGAGTAGAGGAACAGGGAACAGGTAGACTAGATCAGACCCCAAAGTCTACTCTGCACAGCATCATGTCTCCAACAGCAGCAAGACTGACAAAATGCAAGGACAAGATAGTATTTGCTTGCAGCATCTTTAGTAAAGAACATGGAGACCAGGTATTTACTCACTTGCATAACGTTGATAAGCCTACAGTGTTAACCCTCAGAAATAACTGAGCAAAACAGAAAAAAAGCTGAGAAAAGAAACAAGGATAATGGCAGGGATGGACTAGTTTTTGTAGAGGAATGACTACGGTTATGACTTCAGTCTCGCAGAGAAAAAGAAATACAAGAAGGACATGACAAGTCTGTAAAATCAAGAAGGGCATGTGGAGGCTGGGTACGAATCAGTGTCTTTTCTCATTTCAAGAATGATAAAAAAATTTGGATTCAGAGATGGGTGACAAGGATGGCCAAAGACACAGAAAAGCTTCTGAACATAGAATGATGATGTATGCTTGGACTGTCTGACCTGGTAGAGACAATGGGAGGAAGGTATTTGAGAAGCCTGTAAAATCATGAGTGGTGTGAAGAGTGTTGAAGAGGGACCAAGTGTTCCAGTGCAAGGACTACTCCTTGGCCTCCAGCAGGCATCCAGCCAGTGGGGAGCAGGCTGCATGCAGACAAAAGACCAAGGTCTTTGCAGGATGTGCAGGTCAGTGGTGGAACACCCTGTCACTGGCTGTTGTGAAGGCTGAGGACAGCCAAAGGGAGATGTAGCAAGTTCAGGGAAGAGAACTTCCAGTGGGAACTAGCAAATACCAAGACACCACTTCTGGGTTGGGAAGTCCCTGAGCTGCAAGCTGGTGGGAGCCAGGGACAACCATCTCCACGGGCTTGTCCACAAGTACGCTCTTTCCTCACCATTTCCCCTTGGTCACTCTTGGAGACGAGATGTTGGGATGGTCGGTCCTGTCCTCTGTTCCAGTTTGGACAGCTCTCTGCTGCACCTCTATGCTAAGTGTTTGCAGCCTCAGACTTGCAGGTGTGTAAATGCTTTGTGGCTCCAGCTTAGTGATCAAAGTTATTGCCTATGGCCAGATCCATGAGATATTCTTTATAACTCATAATCAATGAATGTATTGCAACTCTCCAGTCCTGAGAAGAGGCAGTTTAAAACAAGAACTCACACAGTACTGTTATCAGTTTCACAGCCTGACTTTGTGCAATGCTGCCAGACATTTATGGCAATGCTCATTTTCTGGAAAGAGTCACATTTGTGAATGTTTTTCCCTGGAGCGCCCAAAGGAAATGGTGCCGCTGAGGGAGAGTAAAACAATCAAAACCACCTAGATTAAAAAAGGGAATCAACTTTTTGTAAAGAGACCTTCTGTTGTTATGTGACTGTTAAACCCAGCACTGTGTGTCAGGATGTAGCAGGGGTTAGTAGCTCGCTCTGAACTGGGGTGCTGGAGGCTTTTACCTCTTCTGCACCTGGCTGTGTGTATGGCCTTTCCCCCTCCTTTGCTTCAGCTGGCATATTTTGGGCTCTTCAGGGGGACAATTCATACCTGTAATTCTGAAGAAAACTAGCCAGAAGGTTTTTTTCTGGGATAGTGCGTTAAAAAAGGGTGACAGCAGAGCTCAGTGAGTAATGATGGGGCAGAAGGTAAGTGTTGTGAGCAGGGGACCAGTAGCAGAGCAGGAGAGGGGCAGGAGAGCCGAGTTCTCCTCCTTGCTTGAGGAACGGGCTGGGATCTTAGAGCAGATGGCTGTGTCTCTTAAAACTACAGCTTCGGAGACAGCTGTGTATAGCAAGATTCATTATAGCCTTGCTTCTGCCAGATCATTCTAGGGATGCACTAGAAGTTGTGGTGTTGGAAAGCAGCACAGACCCTGTGTGCTGATAGTTTGGAGCCTGGGAGCATTTCATCTGATAGCTCTAGAGTAACATTTAGATGTGATTGTCACCTATGGTGGCCATGTCTTACCACAGCATCACAAAGCAAATTTCCCATGTTACACTCTTGAAAACGGCATGCTTGGTTTGTACCATTCAGGTAAACACTAGTTTTTCCAATCTCTTTAGAATAATTCCCCAGGTTTTTCCTCCATTTTTCCACTTCTTCTTTAATGTGTTCATCTATAAAGTAGTATAAAAGTGTAAAATTAGCATTGCATGTATCTCATATTAATGACATTCCAGTGAATACAAAGCTTAGGAAAAAAACCCTGATCTTCATGATTCTGAAAAGTTACACTTTGCCTAAAGGCTCTTCAAGCAACATGACATCTACACTCACTTCAAACAAAGACTGTAAAGGAAGCAGGCAAGACAGGACAATCAAGTGAACAAGCTATTCCTGTGCCACAGCAAGGTTATCTCCGCTGTAACACCTAAAAATATTTCTGCCCAGTCCTGTTCTAACCTTTGACCAATGGGGTTTCTAGCACCTCTCTTGACAGATGATTCTATAGAAGAATTATTAAGAGACAAGTGAGCTTGGTCTTAAATATTTGACATCTTATCCTTTTTTTTTTTTCCTAATTATAGCTTATTTCCCTTTAACACAGTGCTAAAAGGAGTACTAGCTCAAATATCAATGTCAAGGAATAAACCCTTGATAGAAATTAATTCTCTATGCACATATGTCTGCCAGGTGCAAATCTAATTCTTTCAAAAAAGAAACAAAGATACTTGTATATACAGACAGATGTCACAACTGGTTTATATCAGCTATTAATTTTAAGCAATTTGTCATGTAACCGTCAGCAACAGCAATATTTATAAAATGGGAATGCCTGTGTATCTGAATTTTTACTTTTACTGATATCAGAGAGAGAATGTAATGCCTCTTTCCATCATCTCATTACATTAATAGAACACTGAGAATAACATAGTAAGAATATCAACGAACACATAATTTTTAAAGGATTTTTGAAATAAATACTCTGGTAGAACCTAGAAAACCTGATAAAAGCACAGAGCTTCATACAGCAAGCACTGGACGAGAAACAAGGACCAGAGAACCAGCCCTGGATAATTACAGAAGTAGGTAAGTGAGCTTGGACAGAGTTACGAACAGAAAGCAACAGAGAGACTCTCCTCTTCCTAGTTCTTTAAATGTTTCAGAGCTGAAACACTGAACACATTCAGCATTGAAAACAAGAAGCTGTGAGGTTTGTATATTATATTTGCACATTGCCAGAGTACTCCAATTATTTTCTGGAACATTTCCACTTTCTTCTATTGCCCTAAACTCTGTTCTGAAGAACCCAGCCACTGGCAAATCAGTGTAAATTAGTCCTCATAATATTTTAAATCATAATTACAAGGCTAGCTAAAATGGGTTCTGATAAATGGTGAAGTAGTGTATCACCTGATTTCCTACAAAAGAACTTGCAGTGATTTTAAATAGACAAAAACTTACACTGAGTTTCTGTATATTAAAAAGCCACTGTTCAGAAAGAAAAGTAGATGCAAATGGGTACACCTGTAGCACAGCCTGAACCCTATACAGATGTGATCTGCAAGCTCAGGAAGAAAGCTCAGTTCTTCTTTGACATTGTACTGTGTATTTAACACAGCGACACTTGTAGTAAAGTGCTGCAGACAAGTGCAAATGTCTAGTCCACATACCTTCAGGAACACTGCTGTCCAGCAGAATGGGGTTTCCAACTGCTTCAACTACATTTCCTTTCTTGTCAAATGTAACATTTAAGTAACCAAGATATTTTCCATATGCATAAGCTTGTACAACTGGCACCTTTCTCCCATCATCCGAGTCAACCATGAATGGATACGGGCCAGCTGGCTCTTCAGTAGAGGGTGGGGTGCCTGCATGAAACAAGCATGTAAAGCTGGTCTTCAGCTCATGTGACCTTCAAGGAATTATTAGAATGACACTTCATATGTTTCTCAGCCTTTAAAAAAACCAAATAGGATATTAAGCAGAAACAACAATGAAAGTACTGGATGACAAGCACACATCTGATTGTTCAGTTATGCTATTTCAGAAGAGACAATGTTGTTTTCAGGACATGAGCTCTAATAACTGCCACAGTGTTTTTTAAAATGTGACAGCACTCTCCTCCATGACATCATGTCACAATAGCAACAAAGGAACTTTTCATTCCAATTATTTCAATCTAAACCTCTCAGTAATGCACACATACTAGCCTCTGGCTGAAAAGTTTATTGTTAAACCTTCAGACTACATTATTCTGCATCAGATAGAAAATGAGAATGTTAGTAAAACATACATAGGACTTCTTGATATGAAAAAGTCTGAACTATTTTTTTGATAAAATGTGGTCTGAATACCTACAACAGGTTCTGTGAATCTGTGCATACACCCAACTGATTTTTTTTACTACACCAAACTTAACCTCCAAAATTTTAGAGAGGCTGCAAACTCTCTGCAAAAGCAAATTTCATTAGCATTAGAGTTATGTGGTCATGTATTTAAAAGTCCTATCAACCTGCAAAGTTTGAAGGTTGATTAGATGTAGGACTTGGAAACAGACAGATTAAAGGAAGACATTTACAGAGAAAAGAGAGCTCAATTAACATAGGCTACCACAGCATTTAGAAAACACGCGAGGGAGGAAAGTGGCAAAGAAAACTACGCAGCACAGCTCTTGTTTCAAGGGTACTGGCCTTGTCCCTGTCTCCTTGACAGTATTATCTGAGTAGTATCACTCCCCACTGATATTCCCATCAGTATTTCTACCCCCCATCAGCAAAGACCAAGGCCGGGCAGCTCTGGGAGGCATTGCGTGCTGCGTGGCAGGTCCCACTGCAGAGCCCCGCAAACGCCTGCTGCTTGCTCCTGTCCCAAAGCTGATGGCATTTCCCATCCATGTGTTGGCGAGAGCTGGGGTGCCGCTGGGGCAGGGGCATGGGGGAGCAGGCACAGAGGACATGGATCCAGAGGAAAGCAGGCTCTTCACTGCTTACAGAACAACCCGTTTCCCTCCATTTACAGTTGTTCACGTAATACAAAATCCTGGAATAAGCAGCATGACAAATGTTCCACACTAGAACTCCAGTATGATTCACATTTACCTCTAATCCCTCTTCTCCAGGGACTATGGCTGTAACAAACTACAAGCTGAACTGAATTTACCAGAGAACTGCTTTTTTCTACTTTTAGCCTGGCTGACAGAGTTGGTTTCATGTTGGTACCTCTTCACCATTCGATACTTATTTTGGGAAGAATTTAAGAACTCCTGTAGCTAATGAGAACCCTGCATGCAAAAGTGGCTTTGGGTTTTTTGGAACTAAAATGAATTGGTTTTGATCTCTTGCCTTGTGTTAGTCCTTGAATAAACAGAGCATTAGCAAGAGAAAGCTATGCTTTCTAGTCATCATTTTAGTTTACATCAGCTGTGCATGATTAAGTGCTTGTCCAGAGCCTTACTCATTTCTTGCTTTCTGAAGCAATACTTATCATTACAACATTATTCCATTGTAAGATAGATGTGTTCCTTCTGAAATGAAAAGACTTTTCAGTGCATCTTATCCCCAAAGAAAACAGGACTAGAATTCATGCTCACATCTCAGTCAAAGTGTGAGATGCTGTTTCATTACAAATGTACAAATTCATACTGGGTAGCTGAAGAACCTGTAACGCTTGTCTATTTTCTTACCTTGTTTTAGCCAACACACTACGTTCTCAGAACACCCTTTCTGATGTAAAACATAAATTAAAACGCCCTAACCTAAAAATACTGTTACTGTTTGAATCAGTTCTACAAACCCAAGACACACAGAGACACTTAAAATTAGATGTTTTACTCTGCAGTCAAATCACCCACACAGATGTGGCTAGTTCATTGTGAATGTTGGCTGATGGCTTTGACTCAGAAGGGAATGGTTCACACATGCATTCATGGTGCTCCTGGATGGATCAGCAAGTGCTTCTCAGCACTTGGAATAAAAATTATATGCTCAGATCACATTCTGTCAAAAAACGTATCTTGACTAAATAAGTGGATACATATTTTTTGGTGTATCTCTCCCAAATATTTCTTTGTACTTTTTACTTTTCTCACCTCTCCATGTTAATAAAAAAGTAAGACAGACTTGTTTTATCAAAGCAGTACAGCCCTTGGAAAAGGGACCAGAACCCACCCCCAGCTGAGGTCTTTAACGTGAAGGCTGCAGAGTCCCATCGCATGTGCTATCTGGCCTTGTAAATCCTGAACAGCTTCAAATAGGGAGAGATGAAACAGCTTGACCTAGTCTAGTCTGACGGTGGGGTGGTCTCTGGGATGACAAGAGATGTGCATGTGAACTTCTATAGATATGAACTCAGATACCTCATCTCCTGAAGCACTTCAGATCACAGTCCCAAACTGTGAACAGTGGCACCTCACTGGACCACACCCAATAATGCATTCTGACTACTATGGCTGCCACTTAAAGGCACAAACTCTCTACAGGCATTGAACAACAAGCTTATGCAAAAGAATCTTGATTCCACTGTGTAAACCCACAATGAATGCACACTCTGAATACTGTGTGCATCCTTGGCTTTCCCATGTTAAAATACTTCAATAAAACTGCTGATAAAATGCAGCCAACGGGGAAAGGGCTGCACACAGATAAAAACCCAAGGTCCCTGCAGGATGTGCAGGTCAGTGGTGGAACACCCTGCCACCAGTTGTGAAGGCAAAAGGCTGAAGGGGCTCAAGGGGAGATGGGGGGAAGTTCAGGGAAGAGAAGTTCCGGGGGGAACTTGTAAATACCAAGACACTACTTCTGGCTTGGGAAGTCCCTGAGCTGGTGGGAGAAAGGACAGATCTGACTACAGCATCTCTACAGGCTTATCCACTCTTCCCTCACCATTCTGCCTCAGTCACTCTTGGAGAAAAGACATTGGGATGGATGATCCTGTCATCTGTTCCAGTTTGGTCACTCTCTGCTGCACCCCTAAGTGTTTGCAGCCCCTAACTTGCAGGTGTGTAAATACTTTGCGTAATAAATTGTCCCTGAGGCCAACTTCAAGAGATATTCTGAACTGCTTGATGTATAACTGTAGCATGCTATTTTTTCTGTTTAACAGGTGGGATAGTAAAAGGTGAAACAAAAACAGGTATGAGAAAGTGAGAGGAGAAGAGTAGGAAGAGGAGAGGACAGTGTCAAACTTTTAAGTGGTTAAGATCCTAGGGTACCTAATTCTACCCCTGTGGCTGGGACACAAGGGAAATTTTCCTGTAAATTACAGAGAGTTCCTGTTATACTCTCAACCAGTTAATGAAATTTCAGCTAAATTTAATGAGCTACCTTTGATGGTTTTAAAATAAACAGCCTTTCTTTTGCTTGTGTCCTTACACACTGGCACAGGGAAGGCAGCAGCACTGGAGAAGCTGCTGATGGCAGGTTCTATCTAATGTAGCATTGCTGTGGAAGAAAGCAGATCAACAATGTTTATCTCCGGAATGATGTCTATCTCTAGCGGAAAGAAGAATAAAGTCAGAGGTTAAAAGAGGAACTTAAAAAGACAGGAAACTTGGGAAAAGTTTTTTAATGACAGGGCTAATGGAGACCTATGAATACAGAATCAGATTCTATGGAAAGTAAACATTGGTATGACTTTTGAAGTCTTAAATGATTGATTGTTTTTGTTAAGTCACAAACAAGGTTAAATGTAAACACCTTGTTTACATGTGTGAGCTTGAAACAGATACAATATGTTTGGCAGTAATTGACCAGAATTTCCTCTGTCCCACTTTGTATATGTCACCTCGAACATTCACAGCATTAAGGAACTGTTCAGTGAGTTAGGACACTTCTTGCTCACAGACCGTTTTAAATTCTTCCATGGAAGTTATGGACAGGTATCAGCTATGAATCCGGCCCAGTACAGCCAGCAGTAAACTACATTTGTGAAAGTTCTCCCAGTTTAAAGAGAAACAGTTTCAACTTTGTTTTAGAAGCAACATTTTAATAGGAAATAAAATACCTGTATAGAGAAATGTGTTTGTATGTCCTCCAATTACAACATCCACTCCTTTCACTTTTTGGGCAATATTTTTGTCCACAGTAAAGCCAGAATGTCCTAGTGCGATTATTTTGTTCACTCCCATAGCAGTAAGTTCATTCACTTGTACCTGCAATGCTTCAATTTCATCTTCAAAAACTATATCATCCCCTTAAAAAAAAAAGAACAAACATGAACATAATTACTAGGGTTTTTCAAAAAAATAGTTGATACCAGATACTATTTTGTAAAACTAATGGAACTCTGAATGTCAGTGGCGTTCAAATGCCTTTAGTTGATTCAAGCTCCTGATCTTCTCCAGTCTCTCAGGAGCACCTGTGTGCTTAGATGAATACAGCATTCCTGCACTGAGCTGTATGTACTTGCCTATAGTAAACAAGTTGTAACTCCATAAAAAAATTCCAGTGACACCAATTGTGCGATCAAAAATTGAATGGCTTTTGTTATTTAACTAGAGAAAGGAAACTAAATATGTCAGTAAGTGTTTGAGTATAAAATTTGTACTATAAAGCTTTTTTCTTCCCAAACTATATTTCTTTGAGATCTTCTATCTTCTCACAAGTTAAATCTTTCTCTTTTTAATTCATACTCATCTCATTCTTTCTCCCTCTCTCCCACTGAGGATTTAAGCAGCAGCTTCTTCAAAGTCTGCACTAAACTCTGAATTTTTTTACACAAATTATCTCACTTAATGTGAACCACTCTCAGTAACAGCAATACAGCACAGCCCACAACTGAGCTACCATCCAGAAACAAGAACCTAAAGAACAGAAAGTTGGATAGGAGAAACCTTTTCCGGACCACAATGTTGGGAAACTCACAATCATTCTGCAAGGTTTCTGTGCCCGCTGCAATTATTCTAACATGACAAACAGTTATGAAAGCACTAGACAAACATGCACTTTTATCTTGGACACAGTGTTTTGCATTGCGCAAAAGGGCTTCCTATGTAAGAGTCTAATTTCTTCCACAAAGTCTTAAGAATAGAGTTTAAGAAAAGTCAACAAGCTGCAATCCTAAACTTTCCAGTGAAGACAACCAAGTAACATTTCTACCAATTCCCCATCTACCTAATTCTCCTTCCTGAAGAGTTTTTTGATCAAACCATTTTGAAATACTCCTTTAAAGTCAAAAGATTTACATTATTTCATAACAAAGGGAGGAGTGAAACGAATTCACAATCCAGTGCAAAATGTCTCAGGAAATGAAAAGGAAGCTGCTACAATGGAAGAGATAAAAGAGGGTTACATAAATTGGTTCACCACCACACCCATTGAATAGTTCTGTTACTGCCAGAGGGAATCTCTGTACTGCACATTGCAGAGTGAATTGTGCAGTGCATCCCCACATTTTCTTCCAGTGGACCTCTTCTTAGAATCAGAGAGTCATAAGCTAATTGAGGTTGGAAGGAACCTCAGGGGGCCATCTAGTCCAAAACGCACTCAAAGCAGGAACTCAAAGCCAAATGAGGATGCTCAGGGTTCTTGTCTGAGCAAGCTGAAATTCTACAACATCTCTGGGCAACCTGTTTCATGGCTTAACTGCTCTTACTGTAACAAATTTTTTCCTTACATCCCACCATAATTTCCTGGGGTACTACTTCAGCCCATTGTTTCTTGACCTTTCTCTGTGCCCCTCTGGGAAGAGTCTGTCTCCATCTTCTCTATAAACTCCCTTAAGACAGTGGAAGAGTGCACTTAGTTCCCCTTAGCCTTCCTTCTCCAGACTGAAGTAAGCCACCGGCTTCAGCCCCCCTTTGTACATCCTTGTGCTTGACAGAAGCTTGGCCTGATGCAGAGCTACTGGCAAAAGAGGAAGTGCAAGAAACACTCCTTGAGCGTAAGCCCCTCAGGTGCTCATCTCGCACTCATGGACCAGCTACAACAGCCATGCACACCATGGTGTGGAGACCAGTTCTGTAAAGAGCGCTGAGCTCTCTAAACAAAGAGCAAGAGCGACCCACTGACTAGCTGTGCTAGCACGCAGTGGCCTGCAGGCTAACTTCTCCCATTGGTACACAGCCAGGTGGCCCACGATAAACAAGCTCTCCCCACCAGCAACAGCTCTGTTACCTCTCTATGCCACTGCAGTCTACAATGCATCATATACTGAAGACATATTATTATTAATCTTCAATCCATATTAAAACAAATCAACCTACCTACATAGGGGAAAAAGAAGGCATGTCCCATGCCAGTAAGTCCGTCTCTCTCCCGGGACTGTGACGGCAGGGCATAGGCAGCCACCGGCGCTGGGGCAGGCAGCAGCACTGCCAACCCACCTGCCCAGCGACTGCCTGCTGCCCACCTCACCCTCAGAAAGGGATTCCTGCCTGGGGGCTTCAGGGGCTTCTTGCACCCCCTCTCCATGACCTAGCTGTGGCATCTCACACAGCTTTGTATCCTAGTCATCTCAGCACCTGATCTAACTGAGCTGAAATGGGCCAGCAGGATCAAAAGTTATACAACAGGGGACTGCAAAAGCAATTGCACAGTGCTCATTTCTCTAAAACACCAGGCAAAAAGCAATATATTGCTTAGCACTCAACTGTGCATTTTTCAAAACAATATAAATTTAAATAAAGTGCTGATTTAAAAGTTTGTTATTGCTTGTGTCAGTATTTCACTTCTCTTTCAAGCCATTAAACTGATGTGACATCCTCTTCTCTTTTTAGATGGGGTAGACTTTCAGATAAAACATCCAAACTGTGCTATAAATGAATAAGGAAAAAGAACTGGCTGCATGTTAAAAATATTACACAAGCTAGCGTGAATAAAGTGGAATAAATGGAATTTAAAATTTCACTTTAGAAAACTCTGTCAAGTTGATAGGTTCAGTAAATATTTCACTGCCTGTAGGGTTACAGAGTAAGCAGCTTTGGGTTTTCATCTTATACAAAAAGACAGTGGACAATATAAGATACATTATTTCACAGCACTGAAAGTGTTATGCACCATCTCTTGGGACAGATAAAGACATTGACTATTTTGTGGGGTTTACATCAGTGCAGAACTAAAGCAAGTGAGCTGGTACCATCAAATACTAGAAAGATGGGTTTGAGATTATCAGTGCAAAGCAAATACATAGACAACTCTTGTCTATGTGCCAAGTTATAAACAACTCCTGCAGGATGTGCCAAAACTGGCTGGGCATTCAGCTGAGACAGCTGTATACAGCAAAATGGAGGAGAACTTTAGAAAAAGTGCCAATTGGCTGTAATCTATAAATTGTGCTAAGAGTTCCCCATCCCTATGGTTTTCAAACATTAACATTAACAGTACCTTCAGCAGAGATTAATTGTTCCTTCACAATGGAAACACTGAGATTTAAGGACTTTATGCTGTGTTCTAGTATGCTGATAGCTGTTTTAAGAAGACTATGAAAAGTACAAGTTGTAATTTCATAATTATGTGGAAATGATTGAGATTTAACAATGGAAAAAATCACACTTACAAAAGATTTCCACAGAAAGCAGTCATGTAGGAATTCACGTTTCAGCATTTTCAAGCTTCCTTTTTGCCTTAACAATTCTCTAAGAGTGTACAGCATGCCAAAGAAATTGCTGCAGAGTCTGAGTAAACTGAATCATCTGGAGGAAGCGTGCAGAGATAAGCAAGGTGCTGAATTTAAAACTCACAACGTATCTTATTCATTGAACTAAGGAGTTAGGTTGATAATTATTTTGCCACCAACCGACCTCTACATGATTTTAACAGTCTGAAGGATTGCTAGGTCACGAGTAATATATGGTCACTGAGTTATACTAACATAGCCTGAATCCACATTTCCAAAGCTTCCAAATGCTCCTCCACACACTGAGAAGGCAGAGTAGAAAATTATAAAAACTCTGATCACTATAAACGTTGCTGTTAGAATTTGCCTTGCTTGTTGTTCAGTTACACTGTGGGACACACTTAGCTTAGGGCTGCTTCAGCTCCAGCTATGGAGCTAACAAGTTTTCCTGTTTTTTCACTAACACTGTTTTTTCTAGTTGCAGTCTCTGTTGTAATGACTCAGCATACCGAGGCATTCAATATGATGTCTAGATGTTATTGGAAATGTATTTAAATGCTTCACAGAATCATTCCAACACTACCTGGATTTTCCTCTAGTATATTTTTGAAAGAAAGTTAATTTCATGACCTCACTGCACCAACGCAGTTGTTTGGAAGATGAGCTGAGATCTATTTTATTAATCCTTAATGAAGAACAATATTGGCTGTCTGTCCATTTTTCAAATTTATCATGATGTCAGATGATATCTACCCTCATGCCCTCAAGCACAGGTGAAATTCTATTGCTTACACAAAATACAGATTGATTTGCTTTTTCGTTGGGGGAAAAAAAAGAAAAGACTTCAAAAACACATCACTGTAAAATAGAAGTGAGATACAGAAGTCTATTCTGACCTCAGACATCCACCTTCTGATAGTTTAAACATACAGCATAGGAATTAAAAAGCAAAGAAGGACCAGTTTTACATTCTAATACTTTCTCAAAGTACTGAATATTTATTTTCCCAAGCAAGCTATGCATTACTTCTTTATTACTAAGCAATGGAAAGAGAAGTAATAATATGAAGTCCTTTTTCAATGTGGATAAAGTTTTAAACTGGTGCTTAGGACATCCCTATTGCAAAAAACAGGGAAGAAACTCTGATTCTGTCAGAGGGGGGCTGAGCTTTGAGCAGGCAGTGACTCAGATCTCCTACAGCTGATTTAAATGTGTTTCTCATTCCAGCAGACCATTTTATTTTGCTAAAAAAAACCCCAAAACAATTCAACAAACCAAGACCCCTTAAATGTTGGAAAAAATAGTCAGAAATTGAGAAGTCTTTTTCCTCATCAATTCTAATTTTACCCATGAATGAAGCAATTGTGGTAAAAGCTGAATGGGTGTTCCTTCTGTAGACTAATTTCTGGAAATATTTGAGAGGCTAAAAACATCTTGGGCAACTTCTGCTTCAAAAACACATATGAAGCTCTCCTTGCTTTTACTAGGGCTTGAGCATGGAGGCATCCAAGAGCAAAATTTCAACACACAGAGAAATGTCTTGAACCCATTTCACTCTAGAGACAAACTGTATTCATGTTTTAACATTTGTTTAAATGAATAAATAACAATAAAATATAAAAGAATATAAATCTAAAAACCCAAACAATAATAAAAACCCCAAAGGCCCCCCAGCTCTCCTGCAATCTCAGTGACCTTCTTATATTCTTAGATAATTCAGTGATTCTAAATAATTCAGGTCTGTACAAAAATGGTTTTAAGGTTAACAAGCCTTCTCCAGTTTAAAAATCAGGCAGTTACAAAGCTGAATGATACAAGTAAATACTGATAAAACAACAAACTTCTCACTTTTCAGCTAAAAACATTCATCTTTGGATTCAAACAAGCAGGCAAGTAATAAAATAATAAGAGGATATAAACTTATATACAAAAGAAAACATACCTGGCTGTGACAGAAAAGAGGTTTCCTTTGTAGTGTAGCCAACAATCCCTACTGATTCTGAGTTAAAATGTACTATTTTAAAAGGATTAACATATTTCATCATTTCGTTTGCTAATGGGGTTTTCCCCTTTATGTTTGCACTTAGGATTGTAAAATTAGCATTTTTAAGAAGAGGATCCAATAATCCGCTCACACCTTCATCAAACTCATGGTTCCCCAAAGCCTGTGAAAAGCAAGAAGAGAATATAAAACCCTACCTCCAATATTGTCTAAATACTCTCATAAATTATATACAAGGTATGTTTGAGAAAACAATGTCTATGTTCTAGGGAAGAAAACCCTATCTTGTCTAAACCAGTACATTCTTGTTTCTCATGAACAGAAATGTTAAATTTTTTAGGTTTAGGTTTTTGCTTTTTGGACTCTCTTATACTAAGATAGATGTGAAAGTTGAAATCCAAACCCTATCTAAGTAAGTGTTTGTAATCAAATACCAAATTAAAACCCATTGGTTTTTTCTCCTATAACTGCAAGAAAGAGGATTAATAATAACCACAAAGGGAAACAGGTATTTTGTGTACGGAAAATACATGGTTTAAAAAACACCAAAGAAAATGTTAAATGCCAATGGCAAAATTTGCTATCTTTAAATAAAGCACACATTTTAAAAGCTTGTGCTTAGACTACAGCTTTTAAAAATATATTTAGTTCACACTTAAGAGTTCATGTGTAACAAGAAAGTGTCTTTTTCTAGCCATCATCAATACCTAGTGGAAGCTCCTATGTTTATCAGCCAGTGAGAATCTCCACAGACAATCAACAGTAGGTGCATGCGCACACATAACACTGTGAAGTGCAAAGACTGTCACACAGACTGAGCAGTCGGGTGCATTCATTAGCAAGGTAATACCAACAAGATGAGAATGTTTAGTTGTTCTAGGTTGCTTAAGCAAACAAAAACTGACTTACCTTAAAGGACCATGGAACTTTCTTCTACCTGCCCCTTTTTCATGCTCAGCCTAAGTTGCCACACTCCTGTGCCCACAAGTTTGGCAACATCCAGCAAAACCTTCGTAGATGACAACTTTGCAGAAGCACAGAACATACGCAAGAACCTTGTAGCATATTTAGGTGTTAGTGAAGGAAAATATATGTCTATAGAAATGTGGTAATAGTGTAACTTGGTACAAGTTTTCAGGTGGCAACTGAAGCAAAGCATGAAAGGGGTGTTTAAGTCACCAGGCCAAGTCTTCCGGACAAAAGCGTACTCATAATTTCATTATGAAGATTAAGTGGGGAAAGTCATGGTCATCATCTAAAAAGACTTATATACGTCTTTGCTCTACTTAGATAAACAACCCCTATGTGTTTGTTCCAACTTTTATTCCCCAAACAGTTTATATTAACCCTGATCACATTCCAACTCAAGCAGGACCCTGAAGCCACTACAGGCATGGAAGCTCAGTACTTCAATCAACTGCTTGGCAGTGTCTTTCTTTTGTGGGACACAAAGACCTCTGACTCCTCTGATTCCCACAGACAGGTACTCAATGGCCCTGTGGAAAAATCAGGATATCAGCAGTAACTTGCATTTGCAACCAACTGCTCCTGCTGACACTAGTGAAAACACTACTCACACCCCAGGGAAGGAGCCAAATTGTCTGCAGGCTGCTTCAGGACTTTTCCAAAGAAAATACTGACTTGGGAAGACACAATTGTACTCCAACTATATTCCATTTCTAACCATTTTCTAAGTGCAATCTAATTTGCTGTAAAACATTTTAAAACTTTAAAAAATAATAACACTCTAAGGAAACTCATTTTGATGCTGACTGATGTTCTAAAGAGACATCCACAGATGGGTAGAGCATCTCAAAATGGTAACAAGCTATTTCCTTTTGGCAGATACATATGCCTTCTGTTCCTCCTAAATATGCAATTAACATATCCCACCGCACCCCCCCCAAAAAAAAAAAAAAAAAAAAGGTTGCAATTCAATTAAGAATTTGAATTGGATGTAACTGCCATTAGCTTGTTGTGAAACCCTCCCAACCAACTACTTATAAAACCTTGTTTCTCTTGGCTTTGTATCTTGCATTTGGATTACTCCATGTCCATTAGGATATAAGCTTTGATCAAAACTGTTCCCATGGTGTGAGTGGTTATAAAGTTTCTTTTTCATGAGAAATCACTGGTGGCTAATACTACAGTTTTATTTTTGATGCAGCTCCTCCTCTGGGGAGGAGGATGTGGACTGTTCAGCGTTCCTGTAGCTACCTAGCTAACTACCTTTACAACCAGAGTTTCCAGGCCTCTCTACCTGTGCCATATCCCTTCACCAAATCTGAATTCATCGGACAAGATACATGTAAGTCACAAGGAGGAATAAACAGAAATATTCAGGCACACAGCATGTGATCATATAATCCTCCTTTTCACAAGAAACCAGGCTGAAAGTATTTCAAAATCAGGATACAAACTAACAGAGGGATGCAACTTAAAAGTAAAACCAGAAGACTTCTATCACCCCTCCAACTGCTGCCTCTGTAGTACTTGATTTGGATTTTGGTGTTAATTATACCAAAAAGCAAGGCTAGTGCCAAGAAAATTTGGAGGGCAATACCTAGCAAGAAGACAGGCTTGAGGTGATAACAGGCATAAATGACAGAAGGGCAAACCTAAAAAAGGAAATCTACCCCACTTGTGGAACAAACCTCTAATGCTGAATGCTGCAAGACTGCCCTAAGTCCTCCTTAGGCTCCTGCCCCTATTCTGTAACAACTTCTATGACTCATGTTCCCTCCTTCATCCTGTTTGCAACCCTACTCTGGTATCTCACTTCTAACCATTTCAGTAACCCCCACCTCTTCTGTCAGGGATGTGAGTTACCAAATTTTGCTCAAAGAAACAGTAGTTCACCCTTCTGCAGTGTGGCAGTGTGGCTCTTACCTTGCTCCCTGTTCCCCCACCATCCCCCGCCATCCCCATCCCCACTGCATGGTCCCCATGGTCCATGGACAGAAGAATTGAAAAACATGCTGCAGCACTGCCCAACACTCGGCGTCTGTCCTCAGGCTCTTTAGTAGCAGAGAAAGGGTCCTGAAGTCTCTGTAGTTTCTCAGTCTATTCTGTCCCCTTCTATCCTCCGACAATATTCAAATTATATTATGCAGCACCTCCACAGAGAGCAAGTGGCTGACTACTTCACCTAGGGCATTAGCATTCAATACAAGCCTCTGACTCTGGTATGGAATTATTTCTTAATCTTATTCTGATGAACAAGATCATGAGATCTCCTAAATAGTCTGCAGTTGCTTCCTACATAATGTGTTTCTAAAACTGAGCACTAGTTCAATACTGCTGATTTTGCCTGAAAGAATTTCTTCTTGTGATATGATCAGGAACTGTACAAGCTCCCATCCTGCCTATGAACCAGTCAAACCAGCAAACGCAAGGCTGAGAAACAACAGCCAGCTTTGGGAAGAAAGGTATGAAAAACCACCTCAAGCTAATTCTGCACTGCAGAACGTCAAAGTGCTCCCCAGCTCTCACTGGGGATGAGTCCTGAATGCACACACTCCTACCCGTCACCGATGGGAGGAAAAGCCCTGTTAATGTTAGTTTTATGATTAGGAAACCATTCATTAGGCCATGGAACAGGGAGTTGTGTCCTTCACAGAGCTGTCTGGTATGAAGTGTGTTTAGCTTAGGAGAGTGCACTGGGGGCATCACTTTCCCCTCTGTGCTGTTCTGAGGCAGAGGGAAGAAATGGATGAAGCAATTTTTACCTGGGAAAGGAAAGTGCAGTCCTTTCCAGAGAAGGCAAAAAAAGATGAAGACAGAGGATGCGATATGCACAGATTTTCCCCTCAAGCTGTCAACTGGGATGAAATAAATATGCAGTCACTCTCAAACATAACTTTAATCTCTCTCCTTTCTGCAGTTGTATGCAAGCAAAATAAGCCATGACAATTCTTTATACATTGTCTATGGCTATTGTCCTGACACAAAAGATTTAAGGACACAGAGTGACATCCTCCAATCTCAGTCTCAAATTCTCAGCATACCTTTCTCTCAGCACTTGGACAACCAAAAGAGATAAAGGTGCAGGACTTGCACCGTCACAGATGCAGTTACAGTCCCTGGGCCACTTGCACACACACACTTACACCACGTCATGACCACAGCTCTGGTGGGACTGGACACGACCAGGGTGGGACTGATGAAAACTAAAAATCCACACCCTTCAAAGCAGCACGGCCAACATGTGCCACCCGTCCCTTCCCGCAGGGCAGAAGCTGGCAGGGCAGGCTGTGAGCCTCGGCCAGGGTTAACCCCTCCGTCGCATGCCAGGCTCCTCGCCCGGCTTTTGCTGGGCTCGCTTCCATACCTCTGCCGACCCCTCTCCAGCAGACTCCGTCCAGTCCGCCCCAAGCCCCTGCGTCTCCCAAGGGGAGCTCTGCCGCTGCCTGTCTTTTTCTCTGTGTGGCCTTGGCATCAGCTCCCGGTTTCGGGCTGCCCGTGGGGCTGCCAAACTCTTGACTTCATTCGGCCGGGTGCCCGTCACCCAGCACAGGGCTTCTCTTCTCCTCGCTTACCTCCCGGCCGGCTTTGACCCCGATTTTAGCGTGGCCGACAGCCTCCTCCGATGCAACGCTACGCGCTCAAGGAGGTGGCAATGCCAAAACCGGCAGCAGGGGAGGAAAGGGAGGCACAGCCCCAGCACCCAAGGAGGGAAGCCCCCCACCGCGCTGCACGCCGCCCCCCGGCCCGCTTTACCATGGCGTCGTAGCGCAGGAGGTTCATGAAGTGGACCGCCTCCCAGCCCTTGAAGCGGGAGAACCACACCGTGCCCTGGTACTGGTCCCCAGCGTCTAGCAGCAGCACGTTGCGGTGCGCGGCCCGCTCCGCCGCCACCCGCGCCGCCCTCCTCTTTCTCTAACGACACTTTAAAAATAGAGAGTGCTATTTCAGCCCTAAAAAGAGCTATACTATTTAAGAGTTGATTTAATTATAGCTCTAGTGTTTTCAGCGTAGATTTGTGAACTGCTTTCAAGACTTTCCTTCTGTGGTTAAATGCTAAGCTTTTAGCTGTGGTTTGGCATATGCACGCTGCAGGGAAAACCCGCCAACGCCTTAAATAAACAGCTCTTTAGGGGTACAGCGTGGGGTGATTGCCACTTTGGGAAATCCAACTGACTGGTGGCTCCACATGCTTCTTCAAGTCACGCAACCACCACATAGGTCCACATATTCTACCGCTATTAAGTGATGAAATTATCTGGAGAAAGAAATTGTTCACAGTTCGCTTCTCTAGTGCTGTAACTTCCGTATACTTTCTTGCAACTTTTGGACAATTGCACAGCGTTAAGTAGCAACTGACTGGCCAATTTTCTTCTTAAAAACAGAAGCGTCCCTGCTGTGTAGAGATGTTTCTCACAGCATTACAGAGGCTCTACTAGTTGCTGCCTCCTTTCCTCCAGATGACGTCATGCCCTGGTTTCCTGGGGCACCTGAAGTCTGCGGGATGGAATCTGAACTCATTTGGTCTGTTTGTTTCCTCAGATGGCTGGAAAGTGAATGAACCTGTATTTTCTTCCGTGATGGCTATGCTCCACTATCCCCATGCTCCCATATGTGACTTGAATTAAAACAGCTGTGTGGTATCATTTTGATTCCCTTGGATAACTGCTCTCTGCACTGCCTACCCCATCCCTGGGGAATCCCTAGTGGCATCTGGAGTTTTGCCTCCACTCCTCCTTTCATATCCCCTTAGCAATGCTTCCCCCCTCCGCTAGCCTGTGCCAACAGCCTGGCTGGGTTTCAGTTCGAAGCCAAGACAGATTTAGGCATCTGCAAGTAGATGCCTATGTGTGCTCAAGCTTGCTTAAATTTTCATTGTGGCCAATGGAAATCTTGTCTGGACAGTCACTGGCACTTAGGGAGTGATCTGGTCACCCTAAAGTAG